AGTTTCTTGTCAGATCTTCTCATTTCAAAATCATTCGGAACTGACGGTAGATTTGACATATCACACGAGTCTGTAATAGACCTAATAAAGAAAGATCTTTTGAATTTTCATTTTTAAGATTTTAACGTAAGTTATTTCGACTGTATCGATAAAATTAAACTGTTACTGTTAAGTCTCTGGTTAAAGAGATGATATAGTTAATAAGTTCAAAAGCTTCCATTCCTTTTTTTATATTATAACAGTTATTAACTGGCCTGTCCACGTGTAAATAATGTAATTCATGTAAAAGAGATATTTATCACCGACACGAGCTGGTTACACGCTACGTTGGTCACGTCGTTATTGGTTAGATATAGCTACAATATCAACATAGGCTTAGCACAGTGATTAAATTAATTCACCGTGTCTACTGGACTGTTAAAACATATACACACTTATGTCTAGTGGACTGTCAATCCATGTAGCTATACCCATACTCCTAATCAAACACATCGACAATTATATTTTTTTTCTTATTTTTTTTTCTCTATACGTTGTGTTAAATTAATGTTCTGTACAATCTAATATGCCATAATGCATATATCATATGCATGTCCTTTATACATTTAATGTTTTTATTATTTTGTATTAAAAAATATTTAAGTGTTTTTTTTTAAACCTTTGTGTACACAACTGCAAATGTACGTAAAATGTTTACAGAATGATGGAAGGAACTGGCTTTCGTGGTCAGCCAGGGCTAACTGTATTTAATTGTACCGTACAATTATGAATAACTAACTGCTCGCCCCGGCTTAGCACGGGTGTACATGTATTGTATACATATATGTATAAACATACCTATTCAATCACTCTATCCATTAAAAAAAACCGCTTCAAAATCCGTTGCGTAGTTCTAAAGATTTAAGCATACATAAGGACAGACAGCGACAGCGACTTTGTTTTATGCTATGTATAGATGAAGATTATTATTATTATTAAGTATCATAGGTATAGTAGCGATCTTATGACTAGTTGCCACCTCAATTTTAGTGCAAATATATTTGCTTAGGTCAGGTCAGGGCAAAACTTTACGACGCCAAGTAACGGAAATGGCACTGAATTTCGTAGCGCATTTTAAAATATGATGCAATACAGTAGTAGGTAGTATAAAGTATATAATATTTTATACGAAATTATATGTTATTTAGTATACGAATACTATCATCAATCAACATTTATATAAATACATCGACTGCTAAAAATTGTACTCCCATTGAATCATTGGGTTCCCTAAAATCCATATTTTAGAGAGCCCAATGACTCAATGGAAGTACAGTGATGGCTGGCTCATCCGTCATACTCGTGAACGAGTGCTGCTTGTAGGGACTGGTCTGCTCTTATCACTACGACTGATTTAATCTTGTTGTGTTTTTATATTTGAGCCTAAATAAATTAGTGCTGGTTGGTAGTTTGTATTCACACGTTTAGACTTGTAAATGTAAACTTACAAGAATTATTTAAAAGAGGAACACACAAGTTTCTTGGTCGTTCTTCTTGTGATGAGACAGCTTTCCGAACGAGCGGTAGATAAAAAAAATTGTTATGACTATTCAAAAGTGCTTAAATTAAGTTTATTTGAATAAATGATTTCTATTCTATTCTATCAAACAACATCATGTTTAAACTAACTTTATTTTCCAAATATGTATGTAAATTAAATACAATACGTTGACAATAAACTGTGACTTCAATTACCTTGCGGAATAAATTCGGCACAAAAATTACCAGACAACCCTTCCTTCGATTGATATTAAAATATTTAAAAAATGTTACTTCATTTTGTAGGCTGTTGAATTTTTCGTGTAATTCTTAGAATTTTGTTTTGTTACATTTTTATGTTTGGAATGTTATATTGTTTGACTATAATCAAATAACGATACTCTTCGGTAGGTATGTCTTTAAGTCACAATCGTTTTAATCGCTATAATTTACACTATGTAGTATTATTGTGTAAGTATTATGTACATACATAGATATGTACTAGTATATTGCGCTCTACACAACACGGAGGTTGCAACATTTTACCGTATTTCCACAGAATATTCAAATCACACAGCATTAACTGTAAGCGTAGTTTAACTACTTTGACCAATTCAAATTTATATAGAAAATGTTCCCATATTTTCTCCGAATTATACCACGTAAAATCATCTTGCATAATATTAACAAACAAAATTATTACTGTTCAATTTCTGAAACCCAATCGTGTAATTTTAAATCATAAATTCCAATGGCTAACTAAGATACGCTGAGCGTATGAAGAACAAAGTTTATTATACTTCTAAGAAATATGTTCGTTTTTATTTAATAAATGATTTTATAATGTAGCTGTCTTCAACAGGCGGTTTAACATCGATCCCGTTTCCAGTGGGCAGTGACTGTTGACTGTTTACGTCACTGGCAGTCAGTCAATTGTCATTTCTCCGTGTCAGCGGATCCCACCACCGTACACCAATTTAAACAGCACACCTATTTTGACTATTAGTTGCGAGTTTGTGGCCAACGTTTGGGGTATTCGGAATAACAATAGGCTATGAATATTTGATTGAAGCGATTGGACTACAACCACCACTGAATATAACTGGAATCTCGTTGAAATGCAGCTAAACTTCAATATTTGATTGCAGTTTTCGCTGATCTATTGTGAGGTGATTTGGTTATGATGTTTCTTCGATTATCACGTACTAACTTAGAAATACATAATATTCTAAAGCTAATCTCTGACATGGGTAAAATAGAAAGATATTTAAAAATCTTTTTGCGATCATCTATGTACAATTTGCTCGAGTCACGACTCTGGTGACGAGTCAACGGGGCGGAGCAATGGAGGAACAGAAGGAGAGGCCGTACACGGGTCCACTTGCCGAAAATAATATAAAGCAATTCTATTCAGCTCCACTATTTAGGCAATTAGTTAAGATAAAACCAGTGTAAATAGGACCTTACCTACTGGAAATGTAAACCTAGCTGACACCTAGCAGATGGAAAATTGTAACACAATGTATAACGGTAGCGCAATCATCATTGTGTATAGATCTTTACGGGTATGTTCAATAGGGATAAACACATGTAATGGAATGCTAAATGCCACGATTTTTACATTTAGTTTTTTTTTGTTTCTTGTACGTTCAACAACCTATTCACTAGCGGTAGATTAAAAAAATGTAATGACTATTCAAAAGTGCTTCAAAGTTTATTTGAATAAATGATTTTCTATTCTATTCTATTCTACTAAAATTGGTAGGTAACTTCGTCGAGTACTTTGCTAAGGTACTTTATATTTGGTCCTATCTGGTGCGTACATCCGTTTAAAACGTCCGCGTACCAACATTTTTATTCACTCTCGCTACCTATCTCTCTCGTTATTCTCCATCCAAATCATCGTCCTCTTTTTTAATTCACCAGTTTTTTTATCAATGACAGAACGTCATAGAAAATATACATCAATGATTGAAACTTTTCGTTCACTTTTTATGTTGGAAGTTAGAATGTTTAGCTAGTTATTTATCGTAATTTCGTTTGACTAAACAACAAACCGTCCCTTGCTCCCGTGGGAATATTTGAAAATGCTTCAAAACTAATTGAAAGCTACATTCATAGTAAACTTTTAAATTCAATAGTCTAATTGAGCTATTTTTGTAAGTAAAAATATATCTATTAAAAGAATAATAAGAAACTTTTATGTAAATCTGTAGGATAATCAATAAGATTTTTCATGTACACAAACCTGTCATACTACAGTTATTTATGGTTGATGATGATGTTTATTTACTTCCACATCAAACTGACTAGAAAAGCTGCGAATTGCAATCAGTAGATGTGGTACACATTTTTGCAAATGTAACGGTTGTAATAATTAATTGTGACAATAGCGAATATGTAATATTAATAATACTACTTGTGTCTTATATTAACAAGATTGTAAAACTATTAGTACCATAAAACTCTAAGACCATTCAAGTGAATTCACCAGGAATAAACCACAATGATTTCTAGAATGGACCATGGATGTTAACCCGACATTGACCAGGGGCTCACTATTCACCAACAATCCCCGCCTGAGGGGAAGGTCATTATTTGTAATGTGGACTGATGACTATTGCTAGCAATGGGCCATGTCAGTTTAACTTCTACCAATGGTGTCCCGCCAGCGTTGACCATTTACGCAGAAGTGTGAACCATACCATATTAAAAAATAGTGCCCACATTCGAGAAATTCTTTTTTACAGTAATAACAGTGTACTAGTATTTTATTCTTATGCTGCAGTTAATTAGGTAATTAAAATGGTTGTAATTTATTGGGCTAATTATTTATAAATTTCTAAATAATTATTTGTGGTATCAATAAAATAGATTCTGAAATTCGTTTTACGATATAAGATACTAACCATAACAATAATAACCTATTCAAAAAATTTATAACTTGCTTTCCCTAAAACTGAGTATCCTAACTCTTTCTGACTTCGTAGTATAATAAGAATATAAATTATATTATTGATAGTATTATTTACATTATTAGATAAAAATAAGTACTTACCAATTTGCTGTCTGCATCATTTTTCTGGCTACACATATCTGGAGACCCCATAACTTAGTGTCCCTTAGAGTCCATAGTATCACAATAATAACATACAGAAGCTAATGTTCATTACCTTATAAATATATACAATAGTGGTACTTGTTACAAAATTGTTGAATAAATTTTAAAACATATTATCAAACAAAACATATTGACATAAAAGCTTACTCATAAATAGGGTACAAATAACAAAACCTGTCTTGACAAAACTTCAGCAAAATTACATAAACATTACATATTTTACCCCTATGTAAATACAGTATTTCGGGAAAAAAAGGAAATAAAAATTTTTATTTATCTAACAAAACTACGAAATAAGAATTCAATCTATTAGACGAGAACTTCGTACTTATTTGATTAATGAATTATTCTAAAATTTTACCTACATTGCGTAAAATTCACATTTCACTTTTAAGCCAGTTATTTCACTAAAATTGATTAGAGTCTTAATATATGTGCATGTCTTTTTCAATAAAATTCCGAATTGACAAGTATATCAAATTATCTCCGACTGCATTTTGTTCAATCCTACGCCATATTTGCAATATGAGTAACAGTGTTGCCATTGTAAAGTAAAGAAGCCGGAAAGTTGTCAAGTCAATTTTGACATGCTGTCAATTAGTACCATCCGCACTGCTAAATTTTACGATACAACTATTTACCACTAGAGACACACATACATAATAACTTTAATTTAGAAAATGATGACTTTATTGTAGTAGTATCAATTTTTAGTAAATTACATATATAGAATACCGTTCCATAATTCATAAATAAAAATAAGAAATTAAATGAGTTGTAGTAGACTATATCTTTCCTCTTAAGTCTAATTTTCCAAGTTTTACTCTTTTATGAACAAGTATATAAATTTGTTGTCCTGAATTATTGAAAGATATTTTGGATAACGTTATTCCATTATTTTGGGAGGAAGAGAGTTCTTTCTTTCTTTAAATTTAATCGGTCGTTAAGAATATCACCATAGGTCCTCTACGCGATTCACTCTGGAAAATATCATGCAGAATTCCCAATAAATTCGCCATGACGAACTAAGTAACCCGCGTTAATCCATATTTTATTATCATCCACTGGTACCGCGCCAGCATATATTATTAATGTAAATGGATGCATTATATCATTGCCTTTCAATATAAAAATACTTATTATATTAATCGTGAATCCATATCCATAATATTAGATAAATATTAAATATGGATAATATTGTCGCTCAATTTGCAAACGTATCTATAGTAGAAGGTAACTGAAATAATATCATATGATTTCCTTGATTTATTATTCTTAGTGAGTGATTTTTCCATAGTGATGTTAAATTTTTAAAATACTCCTTATTAAATAATACCAGAAAAAAATAATTCACATCTAAGCTGTATCTGTGATGTAAAGTGATCATTAAGCCTTTTCATACGAAACCCAACATATATTGACTAAATGTTTATTTTTTAGTTTAGGATTTAATTTCTATTATTTCTTATATTTAAATTAATGTGACATCACATATTATTCACTTCGAGTAATTTAATTTAGATTCTATGGTATGTGAGGTAAGTAAAATGCTAGTAATCTTATTCCAACACGCATTAATAATGAACATACATCTCTTTTATATAATTAAATATATCGATATAAGCTCTCTGTTGCTCTCCTTTCACCGTAATTTTTATTTAAATAAGATATTAGTTAAACATGTGAATTTGGAGTAAGCCAATTCGGTTTAATTACCTAATACACTTACTAGGTTAAGAAATTACTTCAAGTTCTTTTTTAACCTAAGACCTATTGTACCCGGATTATGTATGTTATGTTAAAATATTAGTAATTACTATTCTATACTGTACCACAATTGTAATTCCACATAAGAAAGTACACAAAACAAACTATTTTCGATTATAGTAAAGGCACAATCGATTTCAAAATCTATTATCGATTTTAAAATGTTGACTTCTACAAAACTAATCACTAACTCTAACAGCACGCATCAGTCACTATCTGTCACTCAGTCTATCAGTTATTGTATTGTATTTATATTTAGAAATATTCAAAACTTTTTACACTTATTTTCCAATATTTATTTATATTATTTACGGTTACGGGTACTTATTAATTTTCACTAGTCTTTGCGGCAATATTATGGGTAAGATATAAGTGAATATTTTGCTATGAGAGTTGTGTGGTACAAATTATTTTACATATTGTTTGATGTTTGCAGAATGTGTTGTAGACGACCGTGATGGTTTGAAGGATTTTTTAGAAGAAGCAGAACTTCAACAATATTATGAGTTATTCAGGTATTTTATATTTATAAACAAATTTGCATTCATTACGTTATCTTGGATCTTTTCGCGCAGAGTACAGGTATTTAGCCTTGTTATCTTTAACAACACTATTGTGAATATATCGATTGTGAATGTATTATAAGGTATAATTTATAAAAAAATACAAGTGTATAATCTATTCTTTGTTATAATTCAATTTAAACACATGTAATATAAACAATGGAAACACAAACTAAATATATTAAGTACATTTTCATTTGTCATTTGTTGGCCTGATTTTTTGTTTTTATGTTGCATATTTATTCTGTTGCTATTAGTTCTTGAAAAGAAAATTGCTGTGCGTTTTTCATTATTCACATTTCAATGTATACTTTCATGTATTGATTGCATTGTGTTTAATTTATTATGTTAAGTATAATTTGAGAACTAATTTATGAGTATAATTGTTTGTATCGCTCTGGGTGTTTTATATGTATATGTATGATATGTATGTGTTTATAAAAAAATCTATGTATTTGTATCAGTTGTCTAGTACCCATAACACAAGCTTTAGTTAACTTGGGTGTAGATGGCGCTGTGTGAATAGTCGTGAGATTATTATTATTATTTAAAACTTGTGTTTGATAAAACACAATGCTGTGCTTATTTATACATATTATATTATATTTAAAATACAGGGTATGGGAAGTACAAATATTTGTAGATTTTGATTAGGTTACTTACTAGATGTGTTTGTTGTAACTAAGTTATGCTGTACAGCCACTCGGGATGTAGGGTAATTCCGAGTGGCTGTAAGTTTTGTGCTGCACTGAAATAGCTTATGACTGTTTGGTGTGAAAAGTCTTGTTACTGAATTTATACTATTATATATGGTTTATGTTGTGAATTGTCTTTATTTGTGTATAATTATTTCTTATATAATATTATTTTATTCTATTTATGTTAGCAAATCTTTGTGAATAAGTTACTTGTCTAATAATAACAAATTGTTTCAGGGACATATTGAAAGTAACAAAACTATCACAGTTAAAGTTTGTTGTATCAGAAGATTTGAGCCAAATAGGTCTGTCCAAACCTGAACAGAGACGTTATAAAAAAATATACTCCAAGTATTTTCCAAATCCTTATATATCTAAAATAAGGAGATTATTAAGTACAAGGAAGAGTAATGATCCAGTAAGTATATACATGGAATTTTCGCTAAACCCAGATAATGATTAAAACTTAAACAATTAGTTTGTCACTTCTGAATTAAACAATTACTTACAAACATTAGATCAGTTTTGGCTGTGTGCATATTCATTGTTTGCCTTGTAAATCATTTGAAGAAAGAAAAAAGGTGTATCTATAAATGTATGCTCCTTAACATGTTAAAGACCGCATGACCACCAATAGGGCAAGATCACCCATGGGCGCTATAATTGAAATAAATCTAGGAGTTAAATAATGACTACCTCAAATCATTTTACAGTAAAAACATATTTAATAAAATAATTTACGTAATTGAGAAATAAGATTTTTCAATGCATCTTCAACATGTTAATATTGTTTTTATGATTAATTAAACATTGAATTTACTATAAATATATCACATAAATTATACCAAACTCACCAATTTTAACAACTAATTCTAATATTAAAATGTTAATACTGTTTTTTTTTTAATGTTAGATAGATTCCTATTTACTTTTAATATTTATGATTAATTAAACATTGAATTTACTATAAATATATCACATAGATTATACCAAACTCACCAATTTTAACAATTAATTCTAATACTAAAATATTAATATGGTAAGATATTGAAAATCAGTATTCATACAATTTTGCTTGTTGTTTAGTATTTACAGGGACAAAGTTCAATTCCATTGGAATTTCAACCATTTTCTGAGAACAGTGTCAAAGTTCCTACAAAACACATCATATCTATCGAAGACATCACTATAAATAAGGAGCTGGGTATGGGCCAATTTGGTGTGGTTCAACAAGGAACTTGGACCACGGGAAATCAAAGAGTGAGTATTTTATTATTCCTATGAGGAGCATCGAGGTTGTGGTATAGATTTACCTAGCCATACCTAGCTTAAATATCTCAAATTAACTATTAATTTTGTGACTTACAATTAGGCCAAGCGCAAAACACTATTTTTGTTAATTGAAAGTTTTCTCTGCCTACTCCATCAGACATAAAGATATTATATTTTATTTTTTGTATGAAATGATGTAGTTTATTATAATTAAAATAAATAGTGTTATTAACATTTAGATTTACAATATATATTATTTTAATCTCGAATAATGATAATATTCTAAACCAGTCTGGTGCTCACAAAAGGGTAAGGAAACTAAAAAACAGCTCATACTATATATAAGCATCATAATGACAGGCTAATGTTCATCTGTTATAGGCAGAGAGATGTGCCATGCAGTGAGAAAGTTAATAAATTTTGTCTATATATCAGATTATAGTAAACATTTGGTGGAGTGACTGTTTATCCTGTATCTAAGTAAGAGAGAGAGAGAGAGAGTTGATCTCAGACTTGATGATGACATTAATTCTAAATAATGTTTGGATAATATACTTATAGCAATTATGTTTGTTAAAAAAATTATAAGTTTGAATTTGAATAAATTTAATAGTAAAAATGTTTGATGTAGCAGCTCTCTCTTGTTATTATGTATTGTCGTTAAAGTATATGTTACTGACCAAACAATGTTACAATTAATAACTTGTACATCCATAAATAATTGCATGGCATTCATATGTCTCTGAAGTTTTTATGTTAATAATCATTTAAAAGAGCAACACACAAGTTAATTGATCATTCTTCTTGTGATGAGATTGCATTCCGAATGAGTGGTAGAATAAAAAAATGTGACTATTCAACAGTGCTTATATTAAGTTTATTTGAATAAAGATTATTTCTATTTCTATTTCTATTGTTATATATACTTTTAATACTCACTATCTATCTCAGGAGAACTATGTTTCTTATTATTTACATCCTTTATGTAACTATTGCTTGTTATTTGTATATTGTGTGTTTGTTGCATTTTGTTTCTTACATATTCTAATTCCAATAAACACAAGTGTGAGTATTTAACAGTCCTAATCCTAATGTACGTTTCTTTTAATTGATTAGGAATATAATACAGTAACATATCTTATATTATGTTATAATACAGTAATTACGTTGTTTTCTCATATATAAAACTAGAAAATCTTGTTTGTTTACACACACTAATACAATTAAATAATAAATTGCCACCTTTCTAATTTGTTTTTTGTACAACATTTATAATTTTTGGGTATACTATTTTTATTATAAATATGATAGTGTTACATGCTAGTTACATCCTATGCCCAAGGAGAGTTGATATTGTGCAGGTCACCGGTCATAAAAACTGAAGCCAAAACTCATTAGATATAAGATTTAAAACTTATTACGCCGACCTGAGACAAATGGGATGTATGAAGAACGACGAGAAACCAGATGATGATTATGATAGTGCTACAAGCTTACACTAATTAAAGTTTAGGGATACCCAAGAATTACCATAAATAATAAATGTTTGAAAGTTACCTTCCATTGTTTTGTTACAGCTGCAAGTAGCGATAAAATGTTTAGGCCACGAGCGTATGACTTCAAACTCAACAGAGTTCCTGAAGGAAGCGGCTGTGATGCACAGTATAGAACACCCGAATATAGTGCGCCTGTATGGTGTGGTACTACACTTGGATTCCTTGATGCTGGTATGTATGAGATGAAGAACTGTCTGTACCTAAATAATAGGTCTTTGGGAATAAATAAAATTGGAGCGTCTGTTTGTAATATTGAAATTATTATATTATATTTTGGTGTATGTACCGCATTTATATTCATATGTATGTAGTAAAAAACGGTTATTTCAATATTATTTATATGTATAGAGTGTAGTAAAAAATTAATACATTTTAACACAAAAACTATTTTGGTTTGTTGAACATTTCATGCATAGAGTACATAACTAATGGGAGTGTTCGCTAGTTTAGTTGTGTGTAAATTATTGTGTATTGTTTATTAAATTTGTTATGACATCCAGGTAACAGAGTTGGCGCCGCTGCGTTCACTGCTGGAGTGCCTGCGCGAGGTGTCCCTCCGGTGTAATTTTCCAGTACCGAATCTGTGCGAGTTCGCCGAACAAATCTGTGATGGGATGACTTATCTAGAAAACAAAAGACTGATTCATAGGTATTACTTTGTAATGTTTATTATTTATATTACTATACAATATGCATATTTGTTATTACATTTTATGTATTTTAAATGACTAACAATATGAAAGTGGTAACAGTGGTGACTTATATACGTGAAAGTATTAGCATATTTATATTTATTAAGAATTTTTATATATAGAAATTTTTTTTGTGTATATTTGAAATACATATTATATTTATATACCTTAATTATATATGTACATAGCGATTGTTTAATTATTTATATAATATAGTATTATTGTCACAGTTTATTACCATGAATGTCGTACGTTTTCTATGTTTACCTAAAGGTTAGCTCGCCTTTAGTACACTTTTAATTGTGCAATAAAAATCACGTTATCATGTCACTTCTGGACTAAGATGTACTTAGTAATTTCTCTGCCATTTTTTACTCTTCATTTGAACATTGCTTCCAAGTTTACACATTTTTGAAGGCAGAAAGAAAACCGAGGTATCTAAGAAGGCTACTGTTCATGACTTAGTTGTAATGTTCTGTGCTTTAGACCCTATGGAGTTCAAATCTGAGTGAAACAAAAAATAATTATGTGTATTTATTTATATAGATACATGAATATCAATCGATAGGATCGCCTATTTGTTACAGTTTTTGTTTTTACTATAATCAAGAAATGTCAGAATTGAATGTTAAACATTGTGCAGTGGTACTATACACACACATGTATTTATATATGTATTATGGATGATAATGGTTTTAAGATGACGGGGCACCAGTGAAGGATGATAGCATGGAGTCAGGATAGTTAACCCGTCTTTGCAAATGGCAATTTACCACGATTATTTCCAGGAGAAACTGCGTTGAGGTCCACCTGACATGGTACATTGCTAGCATGGAGTTATTAGTACAAAAAAATATATATTCAATTGAGTTTCTTGCCAGTTCTTCTCAATTGGTTCTATATACTGAACTGGACGGTAGGGAAGAAATTAAAATTATAATGTAATAAAATTTACATTCAAAGCGTATAATATGTCCTATATGAATAAATGTTTTTTTAATTTGAATTTGATCATTACTAACAATCCCATTATCCTAATATACATTTTTTTATTATTCCAGGGACTTAGCAGCAAGAAATATCTTAGTATTTAGCAAGGATAGAGTAAAAATCTCCGACTTTGGATTATCGCGTGCTTTAGGAGTTGGAAAAGATTACTACCAAACAAATTATAACGTTAATCTCAAATTACCTGTAGCATGGTGAGTATTAAATCTATAATTACTATTATTAATACTTATTCTTAGCGATTTATATCTATACATCTATACATATAAATAAAATTGGAGCGTCTGTTTGCAATATTGAAATGGCCGTTTCTTACTACATGCATGCCACATTTTTCATTGCTTGTAGCACTCGGGTATATATATATCTATCCAGCTGTGAAAGAATTTTTAGATCAGATCAGAAGAACCGGAGATTTCCCCCAACAAGCAAATATACAAACTTTACCTCATTATTATACGACTGTATCTATATAGATATCTGCATAATAATCGGCACTATGTTTTTCTGAGCTTCCGACATTTAGAAACTTCTAGCACTTATGATTATTAACGAGTCGACTATCGACTAAAACCAGTCTACTCGTGAATAGGATGCTTATACTTACTGTTAGAGTACACATCAATATTGTAGAAATAATCCGATATTTTAAAAAGATATTAAAAGAAGGTAGTTTGTGTTTGGTACTAATGAAGTAACCAATGTAAAGATTATTACAAATTGTAAATTACGCCATCTAGTATTTATAGAAAGAACTAAGTTATCTGTCAGTTGTTGGCGCGGTAGCCGGCTTCCAAACCTAAGTTATCATCATTTATTAGTGCTTCTTACATTACTAATATTATAAATGCAAAAATATCTCTGCCTGTCTCGCCTTTACGCTAAAACTACACTGAATTGATTTCAATAAAATTTGGTACACAGATAGTCTAGATCCTGAGAAAGGACATAGGACATTTTTTAATGCGAAAAAAGTGTTGCAAGAGGTTTTTAAAAGGATTTTTAAAGGTAGAAGCAAGAAACTTATTTCTTAGGCTATTGATTGAATATGACTTTGAAAGTTTGTAAAAATATTACCCTTAATGGTGTACAGTAAAATAGGGGATGAAAGTTTGTATGGAAAATCATCATTTTTGAAGTTAGAATGATGAAAAATTTTATTGCGTTTTTGGGTAATTGAATATTTTTTATTAATGTGCTCAAGGTCATAACACGCGGAAGAAGTCGCGGCCACAGCTAGTACTATATTGTTGTTTTTTTATTTTATTTGTGTATTGGTAAAAGGAAAACTATAGAAAAAGACTCGAAATACGGAGATATATATTAGTAAACTATCGACAAGACAGAACTGAAGTATATATCGAGCCCCCGTCCAATTCAAACGGGGATCGATATTACGACGGTCTGAGCCGAGGTTCGAACCCCTAGTGGTGCCCTCAGACTAAAGTCGTATCCGTCACGCGGGAAGTTGGCCTTCAGCCGCCCCATGAGTTCTTCCTTGGTTTGAAGTGCCATCTGCACTGGCCTCCCATCGTCCGGTGAAGCTGTAAAGGCCAGCTGCAACCAACAGAATTAGAGTAGACCGAAAATAAAAACAAGAATGTTATATAAAAGAATTATAAATTTAAATACAAATACAAATACAATACTACAATAATTCCAAAAAACAGCAATATTCATAATATTAATACTAGATTTAAAGACAAACTTGCTGTCCCCAAGTATCGTTTAGAAAAAGTCAATAGGTCTTTTATGGGAATAGGTATAAAAATTTACAATAAGATACCAAAGGATATATTGGAATTACCCTTAAATAAATTCAAAACATATGTTAAATCATATTTACTGAGCAAGGCCTATTACTCACTAAACGATTACTTGAATGACGAGCGTGCATGGCAATAGTTGTTCATGTACGGGATTTTCATTTAATGTTAGACATAGACACCTATATAAATAACTATACATTGTAAATAAACTGGCTTTTAAAAAAAGTAATTCAATTGAGTTTTTTGCTAGTTCTTCTCAATTGGATCTATATACCGAACTGAACGGTTGGGAAAAATTATAATGTAAGAACCTGACGTTCATAAGCGGCTAAAATGTCCTACATGAATAAATTATTATTGAATTTGAATTTGAATACAAACACATTTTTGATTAGCCAGATACAACATATATAATAGAATAGAATAGAATAGAAAATCATTTATTCAAATAAACTTACATTGAAGCACTTTTGAATAGTCATTACATTTTTTTTAATCTACCGCTCGTTCGGAAAGCTGTCTCATCACAAGAAGAACGAGCAAGAAACATGCGTATTGCTCTTTTAAATAATTTTATCATCACCTTACATTTTTGAGTTTAAGTGTGTGAATAATATGTAAACAATAGTGAAATTAGTTTTAAGATTTTGTTTATCTTTTTGTAGGTGTGCACCAGAGTGTATTTTGTATTTACGGTTTACATCGTCGAGTGACGTGTGGGCCTTCGGTGTTTGTCTATGGGAGATGTTTACGTACGGGTTTCAACCGTGGGCAGCTTTCTCTGGACAGCAAATACTTGAAGCTATTGATGCACCTAATTTTCAAGTAAGTATACTCATTGTACAATCTAGACACGCGGTAGCGTATCAAGCCGAGTTTCAAGTAAACTGGCGACGAGCAGCACCTTGTGTATATTTACACGAACCATTTGGAGCCACTTTTGACCCCCTTATAACTCAAAAACTCTTTCACACAAACCTGTCAAATTTGGTTCATATATTGAGACTTGCGAGATAAATATGTGTTCCAAATTTCATAAACATATCTCAAACGGTTATTTAGATATTAATGTCCAAAAATCGTCATTTTTATCACTGATCAACTATAGATCAAAATTATAACCCACTTCCAGATGACCTAGGAGGTTCAAATTTGGCATGTAAATAGGTAATTAGATGAATATAAAGGAAAAAATCTGAAACTGGTAAATTGTTATCATTTTACTACAATTTTTCACTTTAATTGATTCTATTTCAACTTATACTGGACGAATACTAAAATTCTATGAAAACGTCAATCATTACCAATTTACGTTGACCCCTTCACATCAGTGTCGATAACTAGCAAACTTCAAATATTGCATTGAGCGGTAAACACTAGTTGCTATAATTTAGATTCTGTCTAAAATATACTCGTACTTATAACTAGGAGTATAGTCGAATTTCGTATTTATTATGTTATTAACTGAGATTTGGTATTAATTATTGTTTCAATATTTAGCGCACATCGATAGTGTAAAATCATTATTTTTATAAATAATTATTAAATAATAGGCATATCGGTATAGGGCGCCGCGGCGCCGTGTGGGAGCGGTGCGATAAAACGTTGAACTAACCTATAAGGTTGGTATTTGTGCTACGAAATTCATAGTTTTCTTAAATTATACTTATATATTTGTGGTTATATTATTATTACATTATTTTAGTAAATACGTATGGTATAGACAATAGTTTAAACCAAAAATTAATAACAATTTTAGTATAGTTATAAGTAGGAATGTATAGTTAACTCGAGAATGAGAACTCATTGGTAACAAATTGTTTTCTTGAGAATTCAATAGATAACAGTCAATTTGTTACATAATCGTCTTTACGAACTATAACGTGTCAATACGAAGTTTCAGATATTAAATAATGTATATGTTGATAGAGAACAATTCCGTATTTGCTTAACATATGCTATTACTATCCACAAATCTCAAGGCCTTAGTTTAGCCAAGTTAGACCTTAGGCTACAGTATATTATCCTAAGTTATAAGAAGAAATGATATTTTATATTGTTATAAATACATTTCAGGACAGACCATTGAACTTGGCACCCATTTAGATCTCATCTCTTCTGTCGTAGAAGTCAACAATCAAGGCATATATCATAATATTAAACTCGGCTATCATTTCACATTTATGTTTTTGATGGGATAATATTCTCTGTGTTGCAAACAAGCATACGTCCCATCTGATGGTAATTGGTTACTGTAGTCTATGCAGACTTGAAACACCAGGGGTATCACGTGCGCATTGTCGACCCTTAATATACCTATCTTGAAAAACCCCATGCTGTAGTCTTGAGAGAGACCTCAGTCTCAGCAGGTAGTTCATTCCACAATGTAAGTGTACGCGGGAGGAAGCTCCTCTGAAACCGCACGGTCCGAGGCCACTTAGGTTCCAGTGTGTAGGGAGGAATTCCTTGTCGATTGCGAGCAGTTGTGTAAATATAATAGGTACATATCGGTGTCAAAACATTATTTAAAATAGCAAAATGCAAGTTTCTTGATCGTTCTTCTTGTGATGAGACAGCTTTTATAATGAGCGATAAATTAAAAAAAATTGATGACTATTCAAAAGTGCTTCAATGTAAGTTTATTTGAATAAATTATATTCTATTCTTTTATGGTCTTTTATGAGAATAGGTATATAAATTTCCCTTTAAATGAATTTAACCAGCGGTCTAGTACACCGTTTTACTATCCGATGGTCGCGGGTTCGATTCCTCGCACGGCACAAACATTTGTATTCATGAGTATGATTGTTTGTATCGGTCTGGGTGTTTTCTATATATAATATGTATGTATTTACAAAAAAAAAATATCTATGGATTTGTATCAGTTATCTAGTACCCATAACACAAGCTTTGGCTAGCTTAACTTGGGTCTAGATGGCGCTGTGTGAATTGTCCTAAGATTATTATTATTATATGTATATTACATTCTGCAGAGACTGGAACGACCAGAATGCTGTCCAGAAGCGTATTATTCCACAATGCTCGAATGTTGGTTGGATGATCCAAACAATCGGCCTAAATTCAAAGACTTAAGTCCCAAGCTACAGGCTATTCGACCGGAGCAGGTAATTTTACTAATAATTAATAGTACTTACTAAATATTAGTGTTAAGAAGTTAAAGTTTAAGAAAATTGCTCTTGTAATAGAGAAGTGAAGTGACTACTCCTTGCTCATAGCAAGGACTTGTGTAGCGGAGCGGAGATGGTACGAAAGATTTTTTTATATATATATATCGAGCCATTTCAGAGATTAACCGGAACATTTAGACCGCCAGACAGACGGGCAAAAATTTAAAAAAATGTTATTTTGGTGTATGGACTTGTAGGGTAGTTTAATAATTAGTATTAAGACGGTGGATGGTATTGTGTTTCTTTTTCAATAAACAGTTAGCAATCGACCGTGTTGTTTCACTGACGCTGCAGTACCATATTTATATTCATATGCTACATGCATATGATTATAAAGTAATATATGAGTCCACATTACTAACAATAATATTAATATATATTAAGCTAATTTTACCTAAATGCCGTCTACACAAAGTTAGTAATTCATTTTATGGTAATTGCGTAAGATTCTATAATAAACTGCCAGAGTCTACGCTAAATCTTACAGAGAGGCAATTCAAATCTTATATTAAACAAATGTTATGTAAAAAAGCCTATTATAAGATAGATGAATTTATAGATGATAGCAATATATAGCAAGAATAAGTTTATTTGCGGACAACGTTATAATTTTAATTTTCATACTGCTTTCTTGATATATGATAGCGTAGCGGCTTTTGTATTGATTGCCGCATGCATCCTTATGTAAAGTGCGAATACTGTAACTACCATATAGTAATTTTTGTAGCTGTGACGTGGTCGTGTGGAATGAGTAGTCATGCTCACTAAAATGTCCAGACATGTGGCGGCGTGGTGGGCCGGGTCAATGGGCTCCCTAAAATATGGTCGAGCGCAGTGATGGCTGGCTCATCCGTCATACTCGTGAACGAGTGCTACTTGTAGGGACTGGTCTGCTCTTATCACTACGACTGATTTAATCTTATTGCATGATTATATTTGACCCAAAAAAATAGTGCTTGTTGGTAGTTTGTATTCACACGTTTCGACTTGTAAATGTAAACTTACAAGGATTATTTAAAAGAGCAACACACAAGTTTCTTGCTCGTTCTTCTTGTGATGAGACAGCTTTCCGAACGAGTGGTAGATAAAAAACAAATTGTTATGACTATTCAAAAGTGCTTAAATTAAGTTTATTTGAATAAATGATTTTCTATTCTATTCTATTCTAATATTAAGTAGTAAAAAACGGTTATGTCAATATTACAGACACTCCAATTTTATTTAATAATAATAGTAATAATAAACTTTATTCATAAATGCACGGTACAATTAAATATAGTTAGCCCTGGCTTTCGATTTAGGTGAAACCTGTGTCACGAAAGCCAGTTCCCTCCAACATTCTGTAAACATTTTTTGGTACATCTGCAGTTGTGTACATAAAGAAATAAAAAAAAAAAAGTTAAATACTTTTGAATACAAAAAAAAAATGTATAAAAGAGACGCTATTATTTTTGACATACTAGATTGTACTGAACTTTTAATTTATATGTATAGATTCTGGTTGGTTGGTTATGTATAGAATTTAGTTGCGATAAACATAGGTTTACGTTGGTTGTTATCTATACATCTATACATATAAATAAAAATGGAGTGTCTGTTTGTAATAGTGAAATAACCGTTTTTACTACATGCATATCAAGGTATATACGGTAATACAGCAAAATAACATTTTTTACAATTTTTGTCTGTCTGTTTGTTACGGCCAATCTCTGAAATGGTTGGACTGATTTTGATGGGACTTTTATTGGCAGGTAGCTGATGTTATTACATTTACACTCTTTATTAAGAGTAACTTAGGCTACTTTTATTTTAGAAAATGAAAGGTAAAATCCACGCGGACGAAGTCGCGTGGAATAGCTAGTTGGAGAATATAATGTCCCATTATGTTTTAATAATGGTTTTTGCTGGGTCTTAAGATAAAAACAACTAAAAAGCATATAATATCTTATACATGTAGCCTATCAGGTGTATGCATATCACATGCATTATGTATGTTGTTAAAAGACATCGAGATTAAAATGTAACTTACTAAGTAGGGTGTTAAGTTATTATAGTTCAAACTAACTGACACCACAAACGTTGTTTTGCCATTTAAGTTAAAATCGCTTTTAAAAATAGGGGTTGATGGTAAAAGGGCGAATATTTAGAGTTGTATGTATTTTTTTATGACACCATAAAAAATGTTGCCCAAAAAATAAAAAAAGTATGTTAGGGGTGGACAGCCCTTATCACTTAGGGGTATGAAAAATAAATAGCAGCCGATTATAAGTCCTATTTTATATGCATATAAAATTTTATAAAAATCGGTCAAACTGTTTCAGAGTATGGTAACTAGCATTGTGACATGAGAATTTTATATATAATTGATCGATTTTTATGAAATTTTATGTGCATATTCAGTAGGTCTGAGAATCTGCTACTATCTATTTATCATACGTTTACTATATACTATATATATATACTAAATATACTATATACTATATATTATACGTTTAAGTGATAAGGGATATCCACCCCTAAATTTTTTTTACATTATATTTTATTTTAATTTTATTATTTAGGATTAAAAAATACATACAACCCTAAATTTTCACCCTTCTATCATCAACCCCTATTTTTTAAAAGCGATTTTAATTTATATGGCAAAACAACGTTTGCCGGGACAGCTAGTATTAATACGAAAAGGTATAACGTTTATAAGCGGCTGAAATGTTCTACATACTCGTAAATAAATATTTATTGTTTGATTTGATTATTATAATAAATATTTAAAGCATTTATTCCGGTAACAGGTGCAGACCAGTGTTAACTTTCAAAAACCCGAGGACGGTAGACGCAGTAATTTTCTCGAATATAAATCCGGTCAAATAATTACGGTTCTTGGAAAAGAGTGAGTGTTTACTATATATTGTAATATTATAACGTTGTATATATCACTAAATGGTGCTCCATTACCGATTTGCTCCGATTTCCGGTATCTAGGTTCTCTCCTCCAAAGCAATGGTGAATTAGACAGGGCCATAAAGCATAGAATTAACGCAGGATGGATGAAGTGGCGGCAGGTTACGGCAACGACGTGTGACTCACGTGTTCCTCTTAAGCTTAAGGGGAAAATTTACAAGACCATGATCCGGCCTGCTGTCTTGTATGGATCAGAGTGCTGGCCCGTAAAGGCGACGGATGAAAGACGACTGCATGCAACTGAAATGAGAATGTTGAGGTGGATGTGTGGTGTGACAAGAATGGATAAGATAAAGAATGAATACATTAGAGGAAGTATGAAAGTGGCACCGGTGTCAGAGAGGTTGAAGAGTAATCGTCTATCATGGTATGGACATGTAATGCGTAGGAACGAGGATAATATTTTAAGAAAGATGTTACAAATGAATGTGGATGGTTATAAGGGCAGAGGAAGGCCAAAAAAGAGATAGATGGACTGTGTGAAAGATGATATGGTAAGAAAGGAAGTAAATAACGCGATGACTGCGAACAGGGATGAATGGAAACGAAAAACATATTACGCCGACCCCAAATAAATGGGATAAGGATGAAGCAGATGATGATATAACGTTGTAATGTGAGTTGAGGTGTAAATTGTGAGTAGTAAGCATCTAAACTTATATCAAACTTTTGGTTCTTCTTATTTTTCTTTAACAACTTGTTCTTGTTTTGTATACTCGTTCAAAAGAGCTTCTATTAAGTTTATTTCTATTTCTACTACTTACTATTTAGTTCTAAGTATTAATTTATTGAAAATAACTTTGGTATAGTATTTGTTTATAATTATAGCAGCTAGTTCTACAATGTCATCTTATGAAATTAAAATATGATAGACAAAATATAAAAAAATAATATATTATATAAGAAATAAATATATTATATATCGGTATATAACAAATAAAATCGTGATGATATGGAAACTGTTAGTTTTAATATTTGACGTAAAAATTCCTGGAGCTATGTTGAACTTCTCACAGAATATGTTGTTCAGTATGTTTTTTTTGGGAGGATAATGAAACGTTGCACTCGCCTGCGCGTTAGGTTTACACTGGCAGGGCACCAGTGGAGGATGATAAGATGAGTGTGAGATCAGGTCAGTTAGCCCATCGTGACAAATTCATCAGGAATTTATCACGATGGTATCCAGGGGGAACCGTGTGGAGGTCCACCTAATATGGTACATTGCCAGTAATGGGGGAGTCCACATTACTAACAATTCCCTTTTCCTCATAGAGACTATGATGTCACAATTTTTTACGTCGGCCAGAAGGCCAATTGCATTTTTATATATTTTTAGAGATCTTTGCCAGATACAGGAAAGTTTCCCAGTTGTTCCCCAGTTTATAATCAACATACAGACAATAATAGATTGGTTGTTGCAGAAGTATGACAAAAACATCAATGTGGTATGGAGTGGTACCGGGCGGGGCGTGTGGCATATTCGATCCGAGCCATACCAAACCATACACGAGACCGGAGGTAACGTATGACATTGACAGGTGGTTTGTATCTTTGCTTACACGTTACTAATGGTTTGATTACAACTTTTAACAAATCAGTCTTTGGTTCGGATCTGATATCATTCATTTTGGGGAGTGCATCGATTGCAAGCTATATCAAGTTATTATCATTTTTGGAGACAACATGTGGCATTATTATACGGTAGGAACATATCGGTATATAATAATAATACATACACACACATACGCACACAATCACAGTCTCTCTCACCTACACGCACACACACATACACACACACACACACACACACACACACACACACACACAAGCTCACTACACTTGCTTTCGGCCCATAAGTATGGTAAAAAACCAGTAAAAGCTTAGAAATGTGAAAAAATAATGATAATCACAAATAAAAAATTTCTCTAAAATAATAACTAATACAATTGCTGCTTATAATATGTACTTTATTTTATACATAGTATAAAATAAAGTCGCTGGCGCTGTCTTGATCTGAATTGTGTATGAAGAAAGCAAAGCCGAGATACGTTAGCAAAAAAAATTTAATATTAAGAAGTCATATATATATTTAAAATCTATTTGAGACTGTTACCTCTTATCATTAATCTATTCTAGAAACTAAACGATAAATACAATATTATATTATGAAATACTCAAATCAAATTTAATATTCTGTCTGTACGTTGAATTTGTTTTGAATGATGAGCGTGCATGGCAATAGTTGTTCATGCACGAGATTAACATTTAATGTTAGACATAAACATCTATATAAATATACCTATACATTGTTAATAAACTGAATTAAAAAAAAATTGTAATTCAATTTAGATTATTGCTTCTTTTTAATTGAATCTGTATACTTAACTGGACGTAGAAGTAAAAATAAAAATATAAATTCAAATTCAAAATATCTTTATTCATGTAGGTCTATTACAGACTCTTATGATATGACAAATCTATCTTATAAAAAAAATAACGTTCATATGTGGCTAAAATGTCCTACATGACTAAATAATTTTTGAATTTTGATCGTGTAATGTCATATGTTGTCTCCATAACAAATGAACACAAAATATTTATGATTCATATAAAACCATCATGTCACCATGCTTCCACTATCGTCTTCAATCAGAAACTCTCAATGGCGGGCTCGCTTTCACCAAACCCGACCCGCAACTCGGCGCGTTCATCAATTCGCTCCTCGTTGCTGAGGTCTGATGTGAAGAGACATACATACACCGGCAAACGGAGCATACAGCGGAATATGATCTCCAGCCCCCAGGGGGATGTGAAACATACAGGACACGTGGGCTTGGACGGGGCTTATTTTGGTGATATATCATTTTTGGATCCGGCAGGATGTGTGAGTAGTGGTTTGCTTAACTTTTCCTACCATCTAGCTAATCTCGTGTCATCTTAATTGTATACTCTAATTTATTATTAATAAGATACAATTTAGCATAAGAATATCGCACGGCTCATAATGCCATTAACTGTTATTGGGAAATCGGCTTTAAAGTTAATATTTTAAAGTCCATTTTCCAATAATGAGTTAGTGTAGTTTATTATGAAGCTTGCGATGCGGCATGGTGTAATTCAAAAAGGGATCTATATGCTTTTCATGTTTTGGTATTAGTTACAGCTCATCCTCTGACGATGCATTCTTAATTCATATTCTTGGTATAAACAATATATATTAATATATTTTATGCTCATTATTGCAATAGCAAAAGACGATATTGTAAAAACATAGACGTATTATATTATGTACGGGGACAGTATAATAGAAAATAATTTATTCAAATATACTTACATTGAAACACTTTTGAATAGTCATCACATTTTTTTAATCTACCGCTCATTCGGAAAGCTGTCTCATCACAAGAAGAACGAGCCAGAAACTTGCGTGGTGCTCTTTTAAATAATGTTATTATTACTTTACATTTTTAAGTGTGTAATTCAATTAGAGCATGGTCATAATTAATGTATGTTATATTAGAGCATGGTCTTGAAGATATCAAATGTACCAGACTCGTTTCAACGTTTTCTGCTATTTTATCAATAATATAATATATTTTGTGGGCAAGGTTCGACTGCCTGCCTGGGCTCCCTGAAATATGGTCGAGCACAGTTATGGCTGTCTCATACGTCATATTCGTGAACGAGTGCTGCTTGTAGGGACTGATTTATTTATCCTTTATTGCACTATTTAAAATAATGTACAATTGGCGAGCTTAATGCCATATGGCATTCTCTACCAGCTAACCATTGGGTAGAAACAGAAAGCGGTTGAAGGGCAGTATTGGGAAAAGGCATACTATTTGTATTTACCTAACTTAGGTATATTGATTTAATTTATTGTGTATTTATATTTGACCCTAATAATTTAGTGGTAGTTTGTTTCGACACGTTTCGATGTAATAAATGCAAAGTTACAATTGTTATTTAAAAACGCTACACATAAGTTTCTTGCTCGTGCTTCTTGTGATGAAAAAAAAATTGTTGACTATTCAAAAGTGCTTAAACTAAGTTTATTTGAATAAAGGATTTTCTAATCTATTCTTTGGACCTCAAGTGCTACATGTACTTGATTTGAGGTCAAGTCATCAAGTGTGCGTTCTTTATTATTGTTTTGTAAAAAAATTAATGACACAACAAATATAATATGCATACTTGTTGTAATAATTGTACATGCGTTTAAAATAGTATAGTTACAAATTTCACGGTCATTGCAATATTATCTACAATTATACATAAACTAGCTGTTGCCGCGACTTCGTCCGCGTGGAATTTAACATTATTTTTCTAACATAAAAGTAGCCTAAAGACCTAAAAATTATTTTGTTCGTCTTAATTTATTCGTTCCATTAGGTACTGATAGGTTCAAACATTTGCATCCTGTATCATTCCTTATTTTATCCCCATGCGGGTTGAATTTATCAAAAAGCTTTCTTAGGGGATGCCTACGTCATAGTAGCTTTATGCATGCAAAGTCTCAGCCCGATCGGTTTAAAATTGACAAAATATCATATAAACTTTCATCCCCTATTTTATCCCCTTGGGAGTAGAATTTATCAATATCCTTTCTTAGCGGATCATAACATCTACCTCCATGCCAAATTTCAGCCCGATCCGTCCAGTGGTTTGGGCTATGCGTTGATAGATCTTCACCTATAGACAGATCACCTTTGAGTTATATATATATATATATATATATATACATAAATGGTTAACATTCTAATTCTACACGTGGTACGTTATGACTACTGAACTAATTATTAATTTGTAGTATACTTTAATATTACCTTAATGACGTTTAACAAAAGTTAGTAATTCGTTTTATGGTAATTACATACGGATTTACAACAAACTAACATATTCTGTACTAAATCTGTCTGAAAAAAGATTTAAATGTCGTATAAAACATTTCCATTCTAAAAAAGCTTAAAATAGAAGAGTTCTTAAATGATCATCATGTTTTTGGAGATAAACTTTAAAATTCATACAGCTGATAATATTATCTGATTGCACTAAAAATGAATACGTAGCAGTTTCTATGTGGATTATTGCATGCCATTGTGTAATTATTTAATTTAAAAAATCTATTCAAAAGAGCAACACACAAGTTCCTTGCTCATACTTTTTGTGATGAATCTGCGTTCGGTATGAGTGGTAGAATAAAATATGTCTATTTAAAAGTACTGAGTTTATTTGAATAAAGATTATTTCTAGTTCTATTAAGAATGGATCCTCAGAGACTACACTTAGGCGTTTGATGACAAAGCAGTATAAGTATTATATAATAAGTTAATTGTGTTATCAACAGCCGCCCCGTCAAGTGGTGACCCCGTACAAGCCATCCGAAGATCTGGAGCAAGTGCCCCTCATCAACCCCAATTCCCCATCACACCTATCCGGTGCATCATGCACCCCGCCTTACCCATTGTTGAGCCCCAATAGAACCGACCCGAAGAGTGAATGCGACGAAGTTGATTTATCACGTAAGTTATGTTACGTTTACATTCAGCCGCTTCCCCTGCCAGTCGCGCTGCTGGTAATATTAACGGGCGACCACTGAGCGAGAGGGCTGAATACGCACGAATAAGCCAGCCAGCCAGAATCATTGGTAATCAACGTCTATGTGACAGACTGGACCCATTGGCTTTGTGGCGTGATATTGCATCTCTGTGCATTTTCTACCGCATATATCACGGGGAGTGTTCTGAGGAATTGTTCGGATTAATACCAGCTGCTGAGTTTCACCACCGTACCACCCGCCAGAAACTGAAATACCATCCTGATCATCTGGATGAATGGCGGTCTTCCACCGTGCGGTTTTCTAGAAACCTTTTGCCTCGCACAACCACATTATGGAATCACCTTCCAGCAATGGTATTTCCGAACCGATACGATATTGAAACCTTCAAGAAAAGCGCTTATTCTTTTTTAAAAGGCCGACAACGTACTTGCAATTGCTCTGGTGTTGCGGGTGCTCATGGGCGGCGGTAATCACTTACCATCAGGTGAGCCGCATGCTCGTTTGTCCCCTGTGTTATAAAAAAAAAAGCACACGTCTTTGACTCGCGCTCGAAAAACCGACAATCGAGGTAGTGGCATCGCCAATGGCATGGGAAGTATCGTGTATACACTCTCGCGCTGCTCACTTCCCTGCCCACTCGGGCTGAGTATAAACGTAGCATTACAGAAATATTTTTCTTCCACAGATCTATAGTCCTTATTCTTATCAGTTAGTGTCGAGAAGAGCGTGCATGGCAATAGTTGTTATTGCACGGAATTTTCATTCAATGTTAGATATAGAAACCTATATAAATATACATTGTAAATAATGTGTTTAAAAAAAAATTCCATTGAGTATCTTGCCAGTTCTTCTCAATTGGATCTATGTACGGAACTGGACGGTAAGGAAAAAATGCCGTCTACACAAAGTTAGTAATCCGTTATATGGTAATTGCGTAAGATTTTTTTTCTAAATTACCATGGTGGCAAACGGGCATACGGCCCATCTGATGGTAAATGGTTACCGTAGCCTATGGACGCCTGAAACACCGGAGTGTCACGTGCGCGTTGTCGACCGATTTTATAATAAACTGCCAGGATTTACTCTGAATCTGACAGAGAGGCAATTCAAATTTTATATTAAACAAATGTTATGTAAAATAACCTTAAATAGGATAGATGAATTCATAGATGACTATGTCTATATTAAGGCAAGAATAAGTTTATTTGCGGACAACGTTATAATTTTTATTTCATACTTCTTTCTTGAAATCAAAATGCCGAGGTCGCCGTTGACAAAAGCCGCTATGCTATCAGCATTGATTGCCGCATGCATCCTCATGTAAAGTGCGAATCTGTAACTACCATATAGTAATTTTAAGTAGCTGTGACGTGGTCGAGTGGAATGAGTAGTCATGCTCACTAAAATGTCCAGACATGCGGCGGCGTGGTGGGCCGTCTTTTTATGGATGATAATGGAATGGTGTTTACGCTGGCTGGGCACCAGTGGAGGATGATAAGATGAACATGAGGTCAAGTCAGTTAGCCCATCGTGACAAATTCACCAAGAATTTATCACGATGGTTTCCAGGGGGACCGTACCGCGTAGAGGTCAACCTGACACGGTACATTGCTAGTATTGGGGTCATAAGTCCACAGTACTAACAATCTTCTTTCCCCCCAGGTGGGTCATTGGGTTCCCTAAAACATGGTCTAGCGCAGTGATGGCTGGCTTATCCGTCATACTCGTGAACGAGTGCTGCTTGTAGGGATTGGTCTGCTCTTATCACTATGACTGATTTAATCTTATTGTGTTTTTGTATTTGACCTTAATAAATTAGTGCTTACAAGGATTATTTAAAAGAGTAACACACTAGTTTCTTGTTCATTCTCCTTATGATAAGACATATTCCTAAAAGAACGGTAGATTAAAAAAAAATGTTATGACTATTCAAAAGTGCTTAAATTAATTTTATTTAAATAAATGATTTTCTATTCTATTCTATACCACTTAGGTTGCAAACAAGCATACGGCCCATCTGATCGTAAACAGTTACCCTTTCACGGAGGTGGAGCCGTCTGTATGGGTACCTCAGCCTCAGCCATCAGGCATTTGGCTTAGTAAGATGTTTTTACTATATACAGATGCATATAAATTTATTATATTTAAAATAACAAAAAAATATATATTAAATAATATCTACGATACACAAATAAATATATATATATAAAATGAATAACAATATTCAATGCTCGTAAAAACCAAAATCAGTTACAATAACAGTATCAAAAGGAAAAAGAAAACAAAAAATTACAAAGATAAAAAGAAAAGCGAATCCGTGTCACCTCTCACAATCACAGTATGTAATAATATATACGAGTACAAGCCCATAGGCACCCATAGTCATATTAATAATATATAAAAAATATATATAATATATAAATAAATAACCCAGGACATTAACACAGCGCTATCTAGTCACGCGGTAAGCAAGTATCCCCTCCAATCGATCCCCCGTCCAATTCAAACGGGGATCAATATTACGACCGCCTGAGCCGAGGTTCGAACCCCTAGCGGTGCTTTCAGACTAAAGTCGTATCAGTCAGGCAGGAGTTGGCCTTCAGCCGTCTCTTAAGTCCTTCCTTGGTGTGGAGTGCCATCGGCACTCGCCCCCTAACGTCCGGTGAAGCTGTAAAGGCCAGCTGCGGCCAACAGCATTAGAGTAGTACATATCAGTTGTCTAGTATCCATAACACGAGTCCTGCTTGCCTTTGTTTTGGGACTACTTCTGTTTCGTACTATGTTGCAATAGATAATTTATTTTTGTAAATATATACATAGAAAACACCCAAACTGTTACAATCATACTCATGAATACTAAATGTTTGTGCCGTGCGAGGAATCGAACTCGCGACCATCAGAAGTAAAGCGGTGTGCTAAACTACTATACCACGAGGCGTTATTAGTCGTCATCTTTATTATTTGTATAATAAAACTGAACGGGCTATAAAACTGTAACATAAACATAAATTCTCATAGGGAATAGAGTAGAATAGATAATCATTTATTCAAAATCTTAATTTAAGCATTTTTGAATAGTCAACAATTTATTTTTAATCTACCGCTCATTCGGAAAGCTGTCTCATCACAAGAAGAATAAGCAAGAAACTTGTGTGTTGCTCTTTTAAACAATACTTGAAAGTTTACATTTACAAGTCGAAACGTGTGAATACAAACTACCAACCAGCACTAATTTATTTAGGCTCAAATATAAAAACACAATAAGATTAAATCAGTCGTAGTGATAAGAGTAGACCAGTAGTGGAAGAATCGATGTTTTCTTCTCACTTGTATATTTGTTACAAATAACTTAGTTTTATATAAGTATACTAGCTTTCGCCCGCGGCTTCGCTCGCGTTAAGAAGTATATTATTATTAATTAGGTATAGTTTTTGCGGCTTTACTTTTGTTTCCTTTCTTAGGGAATGCCTACGTCATAGTAGATTTATGCATGCAAAGTCTCAGCCCGATCGGTTTAAAATTGACAAAGTTTCATGAAAACTTTCATCCCCTATTTTATACCCTTAGGGGTGGAATTTATTAAAATCCTTTCTTAACGGATGCCTACGTCGTAACATCTACCTGCATGCCAAATTTCAGTCCGATCCGTCCAGTGGTTTGGGCTGTGCATTGATAGATCACTATGTCAGTCACCTTTGAGTCATATATATTCCATTTACAGTTGAAACAAAGACGAAAAGTCTGAAAAAAACAAGTCACAAGACAGTATCTGAACCCACGACCAGCAAGAGTATATTGAATAAGGTTAGTAGCCACTCCATCAATTTTACGCTTACTATATAATTTATACTTATAAAAGGGTTGCTTCGATGCTTTGAATCGGCCTTAGTTCAGTCAGTGGAGTGCTTGAACGCGGTTCGTGACCAGTGTCTTGGGAAATAATTGTCATTTATATATTTCTTTTCAATTTAAACGATTTTGCTATATAATAATGAATGAGTCACTGCTAAACGACTACAAAAAGAAGAGTACCTTCAAATATTTTTTTGTATGTATTGCGATATTTTCATTTTTTCTCTATTAATTTTTTTTTTGTAGCTTTCTATAGTCTATACATTTTTAGAGTAATTTTGTTCATTTATATATATGATATTTTTGTTATATATATTGATATATTTAACAGAGCATAGTAAGTATAAAATTATACATTATTTTCTTTTCTTATTCATGTAGGTCTATTACATATTTCAATATATAAACAATTTAATTTAATTACTAAAATTATATTCATTTTATGTCTACGAACTATAGTCTATACATTTTTAGAGTAATTTTGTTCATTTATGTATATGATATTTTTATTAAATATATTGATATATTTAACAGAGCATAGTAAGTATAAAATTATACATTATTTTCTTTTCTTATTCATGTAGGTCTATTACATATTTCAATATATAAACAATTTAATTTAATTACTAAAAATATATTCATTTTATGTCTACGATTTCTTCTATGCATTAATGGATATAGAAAATTATTTATTGCTAATTTGGATAAAATGTAAAGATGTAGTAATGTTGTAGGTAAAAAGCGCGACATTAGGTCGTGCCCATAAGGCGGACGATGGCGCTGCAAGGACTGATGAAGTCCATGAATATCATGAAATCTCCGATACAGATACGGTAAGTTATCCACATATCATATTTAACACTAGCTGTACACGCGACTTCGTCCGCATGGAATTAAATTAAAAGATTTTTCTAAAATAAAAGTAGCCTAAGTTTCTCCCTAATACATCAGCTACCTGCCAATAAAAGTCCCGTTAAAGTAGGTCCAGCCATTTTAGAGATTAGCCGGAACAAACAGACCGACAGACAGATTGGCAAAAATTTAAAAATTGTTATTTTGGTGTATTCTGTATTTATATTCATATGTATATAGTAAAAAACGGTTATTTCAATATTACAAACAGACACTACAATTTTATTTATATGTATAGATGTATATAGATCAGAATAGATACAGAGAGAGAATACTGACTACCTGATACAAGCCGTTTGTAAAATAAGTATTTACAATTAGTTCAAACAGTCGCGGGTACAGATAATGTAACATAAAAATAATATAGTATACTAGATACCCGTGTTAAATTTGAATGTATAAATTTCCATATAAAATATTGCCTATATATCAAATTTAACACATTACTATCCACTCTCCCCCACCCCTTCAGCGATATTATATCATACAAGCTTTTCTAAGTGTTGCGAGTTGCGAGACACCATCTGATTGTCTTTATCGAGACTGCTGTAGTTAGAGCACATCATGCAGCACAAAACTTTCCCTATCTTCTCTATCCTGAAGAGATGGAAACTATGGATCCTAAGAGTATCCTTCAATTCTTGTCCTTAACGGGTCTAGGTAGCGAACTCTGAAAAAGGGCGAGCACAATAGATCTAAATAGGTCGCAGTGATATAGGTCCAAGCACCTGATAATAATAATAATATAATAATATCAAAGGACAATTCACACAGCGCCATCTAGTCCCAAGCTAAGCAGAGCTTGTGTTATGGGTATTAGACAACTGATATAAATACATGGATACATTTTTTTTGTAAATAAATACATATTATACATAGAAAACACCCAGACCGATACAAACAATCATACTCATGAATACAAATGTTTTTACCGTGCGAGGAATCGAACCCACGACCATCGGATAGTAAAGCGGTGTGCTAAACCAATAGACCACCGAGGCTGTCAATAGCCCAAACAACCCAATAAAAAAAATAGATCATAACATATTTGCACCTTACTAAGTTCATCCAATCCGTCCAGATGAAGGGAAAGGGGATTGTTAGTAATGTGGAATGATGATCTCATTGCTAGCAATGTACCATGTCAGTTTGACCTCCACGCGATTATCCCCCTGGAAACTATCGTGATAAATTCTTCGTGAATTTGTCATGATGTGCTAACTGACCTGACCTCATGCTCATCTTATCATCCTCCACTGGTGCCCCGCCAGCGTAAACCGTTAGCGCAGGCGGGTGCTCCATTCCATAATCACCCATAAAAAAAAAAATCCGTCCAGATTCTGCTAGAAGAACACAAGGAGCTTGTGGGCCACAAGTTTGTCACATAGCTTCGATGTAGACTAGAAAGGCTTAAGTCACAAACAAACTATTGATATAAATGATTTTTAACAACTCATATATATCGGATCATGGTTACTATAGGAGGCAAATCATTACGTAGTATAAAACAAAGTCGCTCTTGCTGTCTGTCCGTCCCTATGTATTAAATATTTAAAACTACGCAACAGATTTTCAAGCGGGTTTTTTAATAGATAGAGTGATTCAAGCGGATGGTTTATATGTATAATACATATACACGCGTGCGAAGCCGGGGCGATTAACTAGTAAATTAATAAATTTTAAACTTTAATTTATTTGTTATATCTACACAAAAATCAATTTCTTCTCCTTATTTTGAATGTGTCTTATTTATTAATTTACTATGTATTCTATTTCATCCGAGTGAAATTTATAGCCATTATGTTATTCAGATGTATGAACTATATTACTGTAGAGTTTCATCAAAACCCGTTCCTTAGTTTTTGCGTGAAAGAGTAACAAACATCCATACTTACAAACTTTAGCGTTTATAATATTAATAAGATAGTACGTATACATTTCATTCACTCACTTCTCGTCCTGTTTTTTATAATTCTACTGACTTCCCAATTCTTTGACAGGAAAGTACAGCAACTGACACCGCTCGAATGGAAAATCTGGTGCTTCCTGATAGCCCCGGGATACCCGTAAGTATACTCAAAATATCTTCATTCATGTAGGTCTATTACAGACTCTTATGATATGTTAAATCTACCGTCAGTTCGGAATGATATCGAGATGAGAAGAAGTATTTTTTTCAAGTAATGTACATGTTTATAATAATACAGATTCCTTTTTAAATTCAAATTTAGGAGAATAGAGTGACTAGCATATGCTATTGCTAATACAAAAAAGAATAGAATAGAATAGAAATCATTTATTAAAATAAACTTACATTGAAGCACTTTTGAATAGTCATTACATTTTCTTAATCTACCGCTCATTCGGAAAGCTGTCTCATCACAAGAAGAACGAGCAAGAAACTTGCGTGTTGCTCTTTTAAATAATTTTACTATTACTTTATATTTTTAAGTTTAAGTGTGTGAATACAAACCACCAATTAGCACTAATTCACTTAAATATTCAAATAGAAAAAATATTAAAAATATAACCAACTGGTTAAACAATTAATAAGAGGAAATCAGTCATAGTGATTAGAGCAGACCAGTCCCTACAAGCAGCACCAAAAAGTCAAATCAATGTTCTTAACCCGAACAGACCAGTCGTCATAAGCAACACCCGGTCTCCAGTATGACGGATATACCAAGAACTATTTCAGTAATATTGTTCTACTTACAATAACAAATAATATATGACATATTTCTTTATTATGCAAAATAAATGTTAACATTTTACTTTCATTTTGAATAAATAAAGAAATAATTTGTTAACAATATTGTTAATAGCAACTCTAAGAGATGTACACAGCTCCATCTAGTTCCAAGCTTACTTGTGTTATTAGTATTAGACTACTGATTCTAATACTTAAATACTTTTGTATATGATACATAATATATGTATATAGAAAACACCCAAATCAATAGACACAATCGTACGCATGAATACGAATGTTGGAATAACTTGCCCTCCTCCCATTCGCACTATAAAAACTAAAGATAATTTAAAAAAAACAACTGAAAAAACATCTTGTAATTGAACAAATTACTTTAATCCCTTAGCAGGTCCCTTATCTGCGGACCTTCATTACCCAACTTAGTCCACAAGCATTGTCTTGCATCATCTTCGTCGTCAGTCTCGCGGAGCCATTCACCATATCAATATATGTGTAATCCTTGTTATAGTATTTATGTAGTATAAGTAGTTTAATAACATAATTCATCACATTATTTATAGTTTATTCATACTTTATATATTTTGATAAAGAGCTCGATGTTTCATATTTATGTAATTTTTTTTTTAGTAATAGGTCTAGTATAAGTAAGGAGCCAACAGAATATCAGCGCTGCAGAGTTATCTGTAGCATTATGCTGAGTTGGCTGCCTTTTCACTTTTGCGGCACATAAAGTCACCTGGATTTCTTTTATTAATTCGTGTTTTTCTGTATCTCATGTATGTTATGTGTCTGTAATTGTGAATAAAGAACTTATCTATCTATATAGCTAAATGTTGTGAGGAATCGAACCCGTAACCATCTGAGGGAAGGTGGTGTGCTAAATCGCTAAGCTACCGAGGCCGTATGGAAATTTATATATTGTTCTGTATTATAGAAGAGCTACGGTGACTTCAGTCAGAGTCTCCTGGATGAAATGGAATCCATGTTCCGTAGCCTTGATGGACGACGTCGGGATGAAACTGTAAGTTTTTTATTTAATTAATTTTAATAAATAAAATCACTGGGCAACTCACAATACCCGAAAACGTGTAAAGAAAAGGCGTGATGTATTTGGACCAAGATAGTCGGACGGAACTGACTTGAGGATCTGCTCTCCTGGGAGCGGCACTCTACCTGCTATATACGGAACACCACATCTGTTTACAGTCCACGTGACTGATTGCAAGATTTCTAATAGGAAAATAAATACATTTAAGATTATATAACATTACTAGCCGACCCTGCAAACGTTGTTTTGCAATATAAATTAAAATCGCTATTAAAAATTGGGGTTGATGCTAAAAGGATACTACACTATATACAACCCTAAATTTTCAGGTTGTATGTATTTTTCAATCATAAATAATAAAATAAAAAAAAATAATGTCGAAAAATAAAAAAAATATATTTAAGGGTCGATAACCCTTATCACTTAGGGGTATGAAAAATAGATAGTAACCGATTCTCATATTTACTGAATATGCATATAAAATTACATAAAAATCGATTCAATCCGTTTGGGAGGAGTATGGTAACTAGCATTGTGACACGAGAATTTTATATATAAGATTATTTTTGTCTTCTATATCTATAACTAAATTTTTCTTTTACGTAATCCATAATTTGTTTAATATACGGAAACTAATTGATGGATTTAAAATTTATTTTACTGAGTTGTGTACTAATTGATTTTATATATCTCGTACATATTTGATTATAACTTGTCACGTAACTCCGTGAAAAGTTTCCACAATACGTTCATATATGTTTTCTTTTATTAAATTGTATCCTTACTTATTTTTCCTTCATCATCATCTTAGCCCGGAAGAAGTCGACTGCTGGACAAAGTCTAATGTTTCCTTATCTATTTATTTATTTATTGCAGTATCACAAAAACATAAAGCGCATGCATACAGAGTGTGGTTGAGTTTTTACATTTTTTTTGACGCCCTGAAAGGTCATGATTGATGATGAATGATGATGAACGATCAATTAATAACTGTCGTTAGTTTAACTCATTACACATATATAATATTTGAAATTATATGTATTTGGAATGCAAAATATCTATTACTATATTGACTTTAAATACTTGTTGAAAGACCTATTTTGTATTAACAAAATACTATTTGATATTTATACAAATTTTAATCGCTTGTAAATTAAGATTAGGTTTTATTAAGAAACCGCCGCTCTGATACGATACTGAGTTATGGCTCTGTTAGGAATGGTAATGTATGAGGATTATAATAGGCATAAAATATTAATTTTGAGATGTCAGTGTTTCTATCAGAAAACTTAGTTATAATAATCACCACAATACCAGCTACTTCCATTTGACCGCATTCAGAACCGAAGCAGCCAGAATCATTGGTAATCTACATCTATGTGACAGACTCGACCCATTGACTTTGCGGCGAGATATTGCATCTCTGTGCATTTTCTACCGCATATATCACGGGGTGTGTTCTGAGGAATTGTTCGGATTAATACCAACTGCTGGGTTTCACCACCGTACCACCCGCCAGAAACTAAAGTAGCATCCTGATCATTTGGATCAATAGCAGTCCAGCACAGTGCGGTTTTCTAGAAACTTTTTGCCACGTACAACCACATTGTGGAATCACCTTCCTGCAATGGTATTTCCGAACCGATACGATATTGAAACCTTCAAGAAAAGAGGTTACATTTTTAAAAGGCCGATATCGCACTTGCAGTTCAATTGGTATTGCGGGTACTCATGGGCGGCGGTAATCACTTACCATCAGGTGAGCCGCATGCCAGTTTGTCCCCTGTGTTATAAAAAAAAAAGTAAGTTTGTAGGCGATGGATATATTTTTCTATTAGAGGGATGAGCCAGTAGAGGGGAATTAATGCAAACCTTATACACGGCTCGTTTTAATACTAATTTTCATAGATTATATATATTTGAATGATTGCCAAAATGCGGGTACTTAATTTAACTGTTTTAGCTAACACTAGTCCAGTTACCATGATTCTTTTTACAAAAAATATAGTACTATTTATGTGAGTACTGATTTTGAGAGATTTAGTTATTTGTATTTTACTTTTGAATTTCCTTAAAAATTTCATATCCGTAACCGAAATTATACGAAACTAACGGATAATCCGAAATAATTTCGTATCCAAAACCTATCCGTATCCGAAATTTCATATCCATAATATCCCTAGTTTAAATGCAGAAAGTATTCACATTGTCTATTTCAATACATTTTTAAAAGCTATATATTGCACATGTTCGTGTTTATTTATTGCCATTGTCATAAGGAAACTGTATAATTATATGTTGAAGCAACAAGATGAGTGTTAGCTGTTTTCCGTTGTCATATAAATTATATATGAGTAATTTCTTTGTTTATATATTTATTTATTATTATTATTATTTATCTATTTATATATTTATATTTTTGTGTTCTTGTATATATATATAGTACCTGTTATAGCAGATATTTAAGTACGTATATATGTATATTCATAGGTATGTAAGCATATTACTATCACATATATACCTAAGTCAGGTAAATACAAATAGGATGCCATTTTCCCATTGCTGCCCTTCAACCGCTTTCTGTTTCTACCCAATGGTTAGCTGATAGAGAATGCCATATTGTACATTAGTTTAAATAGTGCAATAAAGGATAAAAAATCGCAGGTAATGTTTTATTGTATTTTTAATTCAACATCTTATAAGTTTTTAACAGAAAATATTACCTTACATTTCACTTTACATTCTAGTGTTGCAAAGTGTATAATATAAATAAAAAGCAATTGTTTCACATTTAATAATTTCTTGCAGAGTTCTAACGAAGAGTTGTGGTTACTAGGAATAAAATTATCACATACACGCCTTGCGTACAATGTATTCAGTGAACATCAAAACAAGTATTGTATTGTTATAGAAATAATCTGAAATATGTTTAATTTACTCAGGTGGAAAACATTTGGATAATCGGGTAAGAATTGGGATGAGTAGAATAGATGTCTCGTTGATATATTAGTAGATGTTTACTGCAATTATAGTTAGTAATAGGTTAACATATATACTATAACTCACGGTTAGCATATTCATGTCAATAAAAATCATCTTAGTAAAGTTTAGTTAGTTAATTTAGATAGTTTAGTTTCACTAGTGTGTAATGATCATAGTAGAAAACAGTTGCACCAAGTTTGTGTTATTTCTATAATATTTTGTATATTTAATTAATTAAATTTATTAAAATAAACTCTACTTTCACGACCTCGGTGGTCCAGCGATCTAGCACACCGTAATACGTCCGATGGTCGCGGGTTCGATTCCTCGCACGGCACAAACGTTTGTATTCATGAGTATGATTGTTTGTATCGGTCTGGGTGTTTTCTACGTATATTATGTATGTATTTACAAAAAAATATCTATGTATTTGTATGAGTTAGTTAGTACCCGTAACACAAGCTTTAGGTAGCTTAACTTGGGTCTAGATGGCGCTGTGTGGGTTGTCCTGAGATTATTATTATTATTATTTCAACTATGTTATATACATAGTAATTATAATATATTAATTAAGTAGTTTATTACCCCGAAACTTAATGGGGAGAGTTGTAATTTAATATTGGAATTGGATTTTTATATTCTACCACCCTTAATAGTAGCATACAATAAAACATATATATAATAAACTAGCTACTTGCCCCGCCTTCGCACGGGTGTACATGTATTATATATATAAACCTTCCTCTTGAATCACTCTGTCTGTTAAAAAACCGCTTCTAAATCCGTTGCGTAGTTTTAAATAATTAAGCATACAGAGGGACAGACAGATTTTATTTTATACTATCAATAAATAATGATGATAGAAAATATATTTATTATATTTATGTTTTATTGTCAGGAAGTCAGTGAAATGTTGAGTTTACTGGGTGTGTTGAGTGTATAACGACAATTTGACAACGCCCTGACTATCCCATCAGATACAATCAGTGGCGAATTGATATTAGGTTACCACAGTCGGGATATGTGTTGGGATTCTTAGAAAGACGCGTAGGTATGGATATGTCATCACATTCAGAACATGCTAGACAACATTCTCGAGAATTGTTTGTTCCATTCCTGCAAGTAAGCGGTAATATTGCAACGGTTGTCGTCTGCGATGATTACTTAGTAATTGCTATCTACTGCTGACGTATACTAAATGTATTAATGCATTATACTAGTGGTCACATATGGTTTCGTTCGCATATGTATTTCCATGCATCAGTAATACGTAGTTTTATATAATACTAGCTGTACCCGAGACTTTGTGTGGAATTTAACTTTATTTTTCTAAAATAAAAGTAGCCTAGTTACTCCTTATTACATCAGCCACCTGCCAAAAGTCCCGTCAAAATCTGTCCAGCCATTTTAGCCGGAACTAACCCAGGATAGAGCAGAAGTAGAGCTTATGTTATGGGTACTAGACGACTGATCTAAATATATCTTTTTTTTCTAAATACATCTATACATATAAATAAAATTGGACTGTCTGTTTGTAATATTGAAATAACCGTTTTTTACTACATGCATACGAAAATAAATACGGTACATACACCAAAATAACATTTTTTACAATTTTTGTCTGTGTGTCTGTTTGTTCCGGCTAATCTCTGAAATGGCTGGACCTATTTTGACTTTTTCTGGTAAGTAGCTGATGTAATAAGGAATAATTGAGGCTACTTTTATTTTATAGAAATAATATTCAATTTCACGCGGCTAAAGTCGCGGGAACAGCTAGTCCATAATATATATAGAACGAGTTACTAAACTACTAGATCACGGAGGTCGTCAAATATGGTAATAAGTTACAGGATACGGCATGGTATCTGTGCTCCGAATGGCAAAGCACATGGTTTGCCCTTTCACAGGAAGACGTATTTCCAAAACGACATGAAGCCGGTGGTGAGTGGTCATATTTATGTATTTTGATGACAATTGCAACGTACCATCAAGTTGTTAGCTTAGTCAGACCCCCTCCGATCGATCCCCCGTCCAATTCAAACGGGGATCAATATTACGACCGCCTGAGCCGAGGTTCGAGCCCCTAGCGGTGCTTTCAGACTAAAGTCGTATCAGTCAGGCAGAAGTTGGCCTTCAGCCGTCTCTTAAGTCCTTCCTTGGTTTGGAGTGCCATCTGCACTCGCCCCCTATCGTCCGGTGAAGCTATAAAGGCCAGCTGCGGCCAACAGCATTAGAGTAGTACATATCAGTTGTCTAGTACCCATAACACGAGTCCTGCTTGCCTTTGTTTTCGGACTATTCTATTTCGTACTATGTTGCCATAGATAATTTATTTTTGTAAATATATACATTAGAGTAGTGTAGTCCGAAAAAAAACTTAGTGAAAGTAAAAATTATTTATTCATATAGGACACTTTCTATCTCAAGTTACAACATTTTGTTTTTTGTTACTTAGTTCATTGACTTGTTAGCGATTCCATAAAAATGCATTATTATGTATAATTGTCAGCTAATTACATAAAATTTCGTCAGCAATACCGAAAAATATTGTTTCAAAAATATTTAAGTCCCTAATTATTGGTAATAAAATACTGCTTAGTGTCTATAATCCATTGTGAAATGCCTAATTAATATGTTGTCTAAAAGCAATTTTGTGAATCAATTTGGTAATTCAATATGTTATATATATGTTAAAAAATTGTCTCAATATTTTGCAATGATAGCACTCAACGCGTGTAATGAATAAATTGATCAATATAAAGCAGTGATTCTCAACTTTATATTGAACAGGGACTGTTTGATATCTATTTTATTATCGGGGCGTTTCCTTGCGATTGGGATTTCTTTGAAAATTATTTATTTACCCTCCCAATATACCAAGAATGTTATGTCGATCAATCTTGGTCTCATTGGCTATTCACGTTCGTAACTAACCAACGTATTTGTTTATTTCTCTTAAACTATATTTTAAATACTTTTTTCAGCTTTATTTGTTAACTGTATACAATAATTTATTATTATTATTTCATTTTAAATTAATTGATGACGACCTCGGTGGTCTAGCGGTCTAGCACACCGCTTTACGTCCAATGGTCGTGGGTTCGAATACACGCACGACACAAACATTTGTATTCATGAGTATGATTGTTTGTATCGGTCTGGGTTTTTTCTATATAATACATATCATATTATATTATATGTATTTACGAAAAAAATATTGTCTTTGTATTTGTATCAGTTATCTAGTACTCATAACACAATCTTTGGCTAGCTTAACTTGGATCTAGATGTCGCTGTGTGAATTGTCCTGAAATTATTGTTATTATTATTAATTTATAGTATTAGGCATTAGTATGCAGTTTTATATTTGTCACGTTTCATATTTGAGTTTTGATGTTATTGTAGTATTTATATATTGTAGTATGTACTGACCCGAAGTTGCGCCGGTTATAGAAAAGTTGCGAGGTAACAGATTGAGCTGGTATGGGCATGTTATGCGGAGGAATGAGGACCATGTCTTATGGAAAGTGTATAATATGAATGTGGATGGATGTAAAGGGAGGGGACGCCCTAAGAAAAGATGGATGGATTGTGTGAAAGATGATATGAAGAAAAGAAGAGTATGTTTAGATATGACGACTAATAGAGATCAGTGGAAGAGAATGACATACTGCGCCGACCCCAAATAATGGGATAAAGGCAAGGCAATGATGATGAGTATATACTGACCCGCGGGCCACTGGTTGGGAAGCAATATCTAAAGGAAGTCACAGTTTCAATAAGACTCCAAGGGGAAGCAATTGTACTCCAAGTGATAAGTAGGCATTATTTATCTCACAGTGGAGACTCTTAACCGGTCACGAGTTAATTTGATTGTGACCTGAACCCAAGTTGAGTGGCTTATTTATTTTTAGCTAGCTGTGCCCCCGGCATTGCTCGCATGAAATTTACAACCTATGTGGCCCGCGCAACTTCGTCTGTATGACACTTACTTGACATTTATTAGTATACTAGCTGTCCCGGCAAACGTTGTTTTGCCCTAAAATAAAAAAAAAATTAAGGGTGGACTACCCCTAACATTTAGGGGGATGAAAAATAGACGTTGGCCGATTCTCAGACCTACTCAATATGCTTACAAATTTCATGAGAATCGGTCAAGCCGTTTCGGAGGAGTATGGGAACGAACACTGTGACACGAGAATTTTATATTATATATAAGATTTTGCCATGCTATCTTTTTAAATTATAGCTATTATATATTATATGTGTTATAAGCTATATTACTTTAAAATTTCGTTATTTTTTCAGTTATTCAATAGTTCTTGAGTAGAGTATAAAAAATCCATCCATACTAACAAACTTTCGCGTATAATATTAACTGTCTGAACCCGCGGTTTCACTCACGTTACATTTCAATATATAATTTTAAATATAAAATATAGGCTATGTGTTATTCTGTGCATAAGCTATATTACTGTAACTTTTCATCAAAACCCATTCAGTAGTTTTTGCGTGAAAGACTAACAATCATCCATACTCACAAATTTCTCATTTAAGGTTCAAAATATACGATTTATTTTTCACATAAAGTAATATTAAGCCTTAAAATGCTAATGCTCACTTAAATAATTAGATATTATTCATACTCATAAATATCTCATTTGTAATATTATATTAATATTATGATAAGATATACGTGGGTATAATTTCACACATAAAATAATATATATATATATATATATATATATATATATATATATATATATATATATATATATATATTATTACTTATATATATAATTTACAGGGATGAATGTAAGAGAAAAACATATTACGCCGACCCCGATAAATGGGATAAGGAAGAAGCAGATGATGATTAATATACATAACTAATGATCACTTAAATAAAATAATAAATAAATTATTAATATAATAAAAATAATAAATAAATAGTGTATTTAGATGAAATTATTTGGATCATTATTAGAATTTATTATAAACTAGGTACAACTAGTTTATAATAAATTCTAATAATGATTCGACTCGACGCGACGCGACTTCGTCCGCGTGAAAATTAACCACATTTTTCTAAAATCAAGGTAGCCTAAGTTACTCCTTATTACATCAGCTACCTGCTAAAGAAGTCTAGTCAAACTCGGTCCAGCCATTTCAGAGATTAGCCGGTACAAACAGACAGACAGACAAAAACTGTAAAAAGTGTTATTTTGGTGTATGTACCGTATTTATGGTATTTTTATATGTATGTAATAAAAAACGGTTATTTCAATATTACAAACAGACACTTTAATTTTATTTATATGTATAGATAATTTGACTGGCGTTATTTGATATCGTCGTAGTCGTTTTCAGTTAACAAGAAACCATGAACTAACATATACACCTAATAAACTGTGTTAACTTCATATATATGGAATATCTGTGGTAAGGACACAAGAGTTCCGTACATATCCAGATAATTGTAGTAGTATTATTATAAGTATTGAGAAAATTAGTTGTTCTTCTAAATTTATGGAATTAAGTTATGGTAGTACCATAACCGCGGCAAAACCGCGTGTAACAACTAGTATATTAGAACAAAATATTTCCTATAACTTAAGGAATTATGTCAAATTTTAAATATTATATAGTGATACCCTTTTCTCTGTAAAATAAATAAAAAAATTAAGGGCATTTGAACCGACTTCAAAGATAGAGAATTCCCATTTTAATAATCCAAGTTTTATAATAGTTATATAGTAATATCTTAGGATTATACATACAGCGCCATCTAGTTCCAAGATAAGTAGAGCTTGCGTTATTGATACTAGACAACTGATATAAATTTGATTACACCAATATTTTTTAATAAATACATATTATACATAAAAAAAAATTAGACTTACAAAGAATAATAATCATGAATACAAATGTTTGTACCGTGCGAGGAATCGAACCTGTGACTATTAGGTAATAAAGCTGTGTGCTAAACCGCTACACTACTGAGGCCGTCAAATACAATTTCAGGCCTTAACCATTTACCATCAGATGGGCCGTATGCTTGATTGCTACGATCGTAGTATAAATAAAATATAAAAAAAATACATGTATGTATAGGATAGTTAGTGTTGTCCAAATTACTTAAAATCAAAATGTTTTAAAAAGTTATTGTTAATAAAATATATAAAAATTAATTAAAGATAAGTGTTAATAAAACTTCATCTTGAATTATATCTATGTGTGATTCTCAACGAGGTGCGTGGATGTATTCGTAAAAAATTATAAAACAACAAATTGTAAATTAAATTAATTCCTTACTAATAGTATAAATGCGACAGTAACTGTGTCTGTATGTCTGTCTGTCTCGCTTCAGGTCAAAAGTTGGGTTGAAAGGGGGATGAAAGATTGATTGTATGGAAGATTCTCCATTTTTGAAGCAAGAAGCTTGAAACTTATTTTTAAGACTGTATATTGATTAAATATAAGTTAATATGACATTTAAACTTTGTAGAAATTTTACCCTTGAGAGGGTTGAATAAAATAGGGGATGAAAGTTTTTATGTTAATTCGACATTAAATATATATTTATTTAAATGTCGATATAATTAGCGATGTAACAAAATATTGAAGAAGGGAAAATCAAAGGAGATTCGATATCTTGAGAACACAGATATATATATATTTATATATTATGAAATAAATAATCGCAGGAGATTTAATAATTATTCTTGTTGGAGTTTCCAACAATCTTTTCGCAGTTAAAATAGTTTTGTACCGGAAGTTTTAACTGTGGCGTGTATATTTATCAGAATATAATCTTCCCATTACATTTCTCCCGGGAGGTCGTATCTGCACGTTGTTGTTTATCTTATCATAGTGCTGCGTCAGTGTTACTCGGACTCATTTGGTTGCAGTAAGTTTGCGACTGCGGTTATTGACTTATTCTGCATATTCCGCGTCAGCTTTTTATTTATCGCATTATGTACTAGGCACTTTTATATAAACATTCGAGTGGACAGCCTGTTGTTTCGTAGAACACGCCCCGCTGCCGAGTCGTTCTCGGGTATCAGATAGTGTTATATGTTGTGGCAGTCATCGCAGCATCAATGTTTCGATTGTTCTGTATTAAAATATTTCATATTTTTCAGGTCATAACCAATAAGGCCTTCGACATCGACCTCAGTTTAAGGTAAGAATAGAAATGACTATTTATATACCGCGGCTGCATTCGAATCTGTTGTAGTACGTTTCGAAAGATTATTTTTTATTTAAATATATATTAAAATATGTTTTTCATTATCCATTTTAGAAACGATTTTAAATCAACAAATAATATTAGTAACTAGCTGTAGCCGCGACTTTGTCCGCGTGGAATTTAACTTTATATTTAACTAAAATAAAAGTTGCCTAAGTTACTCCTTATTACATCCGCTACCTGCCAATAAAAGTTCCGTCAAAATTAGTCCAGCTATTTCAGAGATTAGCCGGAACAAACAGACAGACAGACAGACAAAAATTGTAAAAATGTTATTTTAATGTATGTACCGTATTTATATTTATATGTATAGATTAGCGAAAAGCGTACTGAAACGATTAAGCTCTTTCCGAGTATAACGTGGACAAACGCACAGAAAATAGACAATTTATTTTAATAATTTCTTTTATTTAGCAATCATAAGCAGAACAAATTGTTCCTTTGAAGACATACATTTTGTGGCAGGTAGCTGATGTAATAAGGAGTGACTTAGGCTACTATAGATATACACTCGCTGGCCCTGCAAACGCTATTTTTCCATATAAATTTAAATCAATTAAAATCAAAATATCTTTATTCATGTACACTAATATGATACGTGAACTGATGATCATTTTGCTAGCAATGTACCATGTTAGGTTGACCGCCGCGCGGTTCCCTCTGGAAACCCTCGTGATAAATTCTTGATCAATTTGTCACAATGAGCTAACTGACCTGAAACTGGCCTGATCTCATCTTATCATCCTCCACTGGAGCCCCGCCAGCGTAAGCCGTTAGCGCAGGCGGGTGCATAATTCCATTTCATCCATTAAAAAAAACTGATGTCGAATCTACCGTCAGTTCGGAATTATTTCGAGATGAGAGAAAAAGGAGAGGAACTGACAAGAAACTCAGCTTGTATTCTTTTCAAACATGGTTGTACAATGTACACATTCATTTTTAAATTCAAATTAAAATGCTGTTAACAAATTAGAATTGCTAGAAAGGCGAAAATTTAGGGTTGTATGTAGTTTTCAAGGCTAAATCGTGATAAAATAAAAAAAAATTGTCCAAAATAAATAAAGATATATTTAGTGTTGGACAACCCTCATCTCATAGGGGTATGAAAAATAGATAGTAGCCGATTCTCAGACCTACTGAATATAAAATTTGATAAAAATCGGTGAAGCAGTTTCGGACGTGTATGGAGAGTACATTGTGACATGTGAATTATAAAAAAAAGAAGCTGTGCCGTGATGTGTCTGCACTCCAAATGCAGGGTAATACAAGGTATCAGGCTACTAGTGTCACCAGAACTTTATGTTTATTTTATGTTTCAGTGTGTAGTTATGTTTGATATTTATTTATATATGGTAGTATGTCGTAAATCTTTACTCTGTGTTATCCGCCTAGATCTATGTATGTATGTGTATTATTATTATTATATTTATTATATGTATGAAGGTATCCGCAGAATACCCGCGTCGTGGCACCCCGTCACGACATATGCTGATATATCCATTTTAATTGTGACTAGCTATTAACCGCTACTTGATCTACTTACTACAATTAAATTATAGCAATAGGTACCTCCCAACCGTCGAAACATAAGCAAACATACACAGTTGGTTACTGTAATGAAAATTTTATTATTTGGTAATTTAATTACATACACTTTCAGATCGCATACTCTGTCCAAAGTGGATAAGAAGAAAAGCTTCCAGACGGGGACTATGAAACCTATGTCTGCTCACGACCAAAAGACTTTAGACACCGCTGTAGCTATGGCCAACGAGATAACTACCAAGTATGTACCAATTATAACTCTTTTAATTCACCTAGTGGCTAATAAGCATCCGGCACGCCCGATAAAAAGTGGCAATTATAATAAAAACCAGATATGAAGTCCTGATAAAAAGAGACAATCGTGAATATAATATTAATATCAGGACAATTCATATAGCGCCATCTAGTCCTAAGTTATTCTAGCTAAAGCTTGTATTATGGGTACTAGATAACTGATAGATTTTTTTTGTAAATACATACATATTATACATAGTTAATATCCAGACCGATCACAATCATACTCATGTATGTGCCGTGCGAGGAATCGAACCCGCGACTGTTGGAAGTAAGGCGGTGTGTGCGTCACAAAATACGTCACAATATATCTGATAGCCTTATATTTGCCATTCATGTGGACTTTTTTATGTATGAAAATAGTATGTACCCGCCTGGGCTTATGGTGTACTTTAGGTACAACAACTGTTGTCGATGATGTCTTAAATTGGGCAGTAGATTGAATTACACATATCATGTATTGATTATGTAACAGTACAAAGTTCACAATAACTCCAAATTTAATTATTACTAATATATATATATTAGTGGATATAGAAACAGTAGGTTGTAGATTTTCACTATATTTTATGTATATCGTTGAACGATATATTCGGTATTACGTGAGACGTGAGCAGATTTATTACAATTATTAATCGCATTGTCAGATTATGTAAACCTCTTTCAATTAATGTATTGTTTTTTCTAGAAAACACCATGTTAGGGTTGCCATTCGTGTAAAAAAATAAATAACTGCCGATAACGTAATCATAATTTAGACTCTCACCCCCCCCCCCCCCCCTAATGTCATTCAAAATAAGCAAAGCAAAGAACCCCCCGCCCTCTTTTAGTGCATACATAATTTACATTGAAAACACCCAGACTGATAAAAACACTCATGAATGTAAAATGTACCGTGCGAAGAATCGAACCCGCGACCACTGGACTTAACCGCTAAACCACCGAGGCCTTCAATAATTTAAATGGATTATAAATTCATATGTGTAAAAACACTATGTTGCTTCCAGGCTAAGATATGGATTGATTTTGTGGGGTAACTCTAGAAATAAACAAGGTCTTTGTCTGTCAAAAAAAATGCCTACGAGCTATTGTTGACTTTTCGCCTAGAACAAGTTGTAAGCCAATGTTTCAAAGACTCAACATATTGACTTTGCCTTGTATGTATATTTATGAAATATGCCAATTTGTAAGACTGCATCCTGAACTGTTCAAACGGAGACAAGATATTCCCAGTAAATACAGTACAAGACACTTAGACAAATTGATGTTACCATCTATAAAGACGTCATTATGCAGCTCAAACTGTCACGCCATGGCGATTAAAATATATAATAAATTACCAGGTGAAATTGTACATTTATGTCGAAATTAATTGAAGAAAGAACTACATAGATGGCTAATCAGCAAATCTTACTACAGTGTTCAGGAGTACTTACTTAATTAAAAACATTGACATGTATAATTTATAAATATTTCATTAATACGAAATTGACATACTCATACATTACCTAAATGTCTTTTGGCTAAAGTTAGTAGTAAGGTTTTACAATAAAATACCAGAGTCTGTTATAAACCTGCCAGAAAAAAGATTTAAATGTCAAATAAAACACTTCCTTTGCAAAAAAGCTTACTATAAAATTGAAGAATTCGTTAACGATAATAATGTTTTTGTAGAAAAATTTTAAATACATAGCACTGACAATATTATCTGATTACACTAATAATGAGTGCGTAGCGATTTCTATGTTGATTATCGCATGCCTCTTACTTGTTACACTGTAATTATTTATATAAAAAAAACATCTATTCAAAAGAGCAACACACAAGTTTCTTGCTCATTCTTCTTGTGATGAATCTGCATTCCGAATGAGTGGTAGAATCAAAATATGACTATTCAAAAGTGCTTGTAATGAGTTTATTTGAATAAAGATTATTTCTATTTCTATTTCATATTATAAATAATGTACGTACTTAATATTGACTAACGAATAATAACCAAAATTGACATCTGTTTTGTCTGATGCATGTTAGAAATGACAAAAGGTGTGAAACTAATTCTAAAGACCTTAAAAACCACATATGTACCACATTTTAAGCATCATTTGATTTCAAAATGAATGTGTGTAGGTCAATGAATGATTTGGACGGCGACAACAAGGTGGCGAGCTCGCCGACCGACAAATCCAAGTTCCACTTCAAGTTCCCGCTCGTGTCGCTGCATCACAACGTGGTGCATGAAGCCGACAAAGATCCAGCTGGTCAGTATCACCATATCACATTTGATCAGCTCATTTTTCTTTCCTTAATTTAAGGCGTAAAATTATAGCTCAACTGTGCTTCACTTTGAAGGTAAGATGACCTTTGAAGTAAAACACTGAATGATGCTGCTTAACTGAAACAATAATCAGAATTCAGAACCGAGCAGCCAGAATCATTGGTAATCAACGTCTTTGCGACAGATTCGACCCATTGGCTTTGCGGCGAGATATTGCATCTCTGTGCATTTTCTACCGCATATATCACAGGGAGTGTTCTGAGGAATTGTTCGGATTAATACCAGCTGCTGAGTTTCACCACCGTACCACCCGCCAGAAACTGAAATACCATCCTGATCATCTGGATGAATGGCAGTCCACCACAGTGTGGTTTTCTTTAAACTTTATGCCACGTACAACCACATTGTGGAATCACCTTCCATTAATGGTGTTTCCGAACCGATACGATATTGAATCCTTCAAGAAACGAGCTTATTCCTTTTTAAAAGGCCGACAACGTACATGCAATTCACCTGGTGTTACGGGTGCTCATGGGTGGCGGTAATCACTTACCATCAGGTGAGCCACAAGATCGTTTGTCCCCTGTGTTATAAAAAAATTAATACTTAAACCCATGTAGACGAAATAAAAATATTTCAATTTATATAAAATCAAATCAAATTAACAATAATTTATTCATGTAGGACATTTTAGCCACATATGAAAGTAAATTTTTTCCCTACCGTCCAGTTCAGTATACAGATTCAATTTAGAAGAACTGGTAAGAAACTCAGCTGAATTTAATTTGTTTTAGAAGCCAGTTCATTTACTTTGTCTACAGATGTAGATGTCTATGTCTAACATTAAATGAAACAACTATTGCACGTTTGTCATTCAAGTATTGGTTTATTTTGTATGAGGCTTTGCTCCATAGATATGATTTAACAGATGTTTTGAATTTATTTAAAGATAACTCTATTATATCCTTTGGTGCCTCATTGTAAATTTTTATAGCCATTACCTACAAAAGACCTATTGACTTTTTCTAAAAGATACTTAGGAACAGCAAGTTTGTTTTAAATGTAGTATTAATGTTATGAATATAAATATAGATATATGTAAGTATTGTATAATATTTTCAGGTAAACAAGAACGTCGTAACTTCAGCAAGGAAGCCAACAGCGTGCCTGATATACAGGTAATTTCTATTGCATCTTATTATCTCATATTTAAATTAAAAATTAAGTATGGTACATAGGACCTCTGGCATTAGACAGAAAAATTAAAAAGTGTTTACTCAATACTATAAACATTTTTCATTTATCCGTACTATACTAATATACAGCGCAGGACTGATCGTCGTGGAGATGTTTGGAGATAGGCCTCCCCCTATGGCCAGCAGTAGACGTCTTCCCGGCTGAGATGGTGATGATGATGATGATGATGGTACTAATATTATAAATCCGAACTTCTGTCTGTCACTTTCGCTTTCACGCCAAAACTATTAAACAGATTTAAATTAAATTTGGTACACAGATACTTTTTAATGCGAAATAAGGGTTGTAATGTGTTGTAAAGGGAAAAAGTAGTTTGGTGGTGTGGTCGTTATTTTTATAGTTATATCATATTTATGTCATATTTATATAATGTCTTAAAATTTATTTTTTAATCTGTTAATGAAATATGTTGAGTGTCATGTACATTCAAGTCTGTAATTTTTTTTCCCTTAAAAATGGGGTGACATAAATAATGGATGAAAGTTTTTCTTTATTTAGTCAAGGTCACTTATCCACGCGGACATACCTCGTATATTGAAGAAATATAAATGTTTTAAATTTTTTTTATTTATTCGGTGGCCAACCAACATATATTTACAAAAAAAAACTGTTTCTTTGGAAACTTATTACAATTACTTTAATCTAGCAAATCTATACATATAAATAAAATTGGAGTGTCTGTTTGTAACATTAAAATAACCGTTTTTTACTACATGCATATGAATATAAATACGGTACATACACCAAAAATTTTTTTTTTATTTTTATCTGCCTGTCTATATGTTTCGGGTAATCTATGAAATGGCTGGACCGATTTTGACAGGACTGTTATTTGTTATTAGCTGATGTGATAAGGAGTCACTTATTCTTTTATTTTAGAAGAATAAAGTTAAATTCCACGTGGACGAAGTCGCGGGTACAGCTAGCTAGTATATAATATAGTTGAATTCCTTATTTTTGAAATGTGTTAATTAGTAGTATGATTTCTGAATGAATGGAAGAGAAAAACATATTACGCCGACTCCAAATAAATGGGATAAGGAAGAAGCAGATGTAGTAGTAGTACTAGTACGAATTCTATTGCTATATTTTATATTTTTTTGTGAAGTCTACAATAACGGAGCAGTGCAAGTTGGCGTACACGAGCCTCATCGAGCAGCCGACTCCATCTTCCTCTCTCATGACGCACATGGCCAAGGACTCCGCAGCTTACAAGCCGGCCACCACACCGAAGCCGGCGCCACGCTCCATCGAATCTCTGGCGCAGTTCAAATCACTACAGAAGCAATTGCCGATTACTGGGTACGTATTTTAATATATATATATATAGTATGTCACTACGTTTTATTTTTGTATGATAATGGAATGTGTATATACGAGGAAGTTTGAAAGTTGCACCAGTTATAGACAAGTTGCGATGTAGTAGATTGAGCTGCTATGCATGTTATGCGGAGGAACGTGTGATGTCTTATGGAAAGTGTATAATATGAACGTGGATGGATGGAAAGGGAGAGGACGCCTCAAAATATTATGGATGGAATGTGTGAAAGATGATATGAATAAAAGAAGAGTATGCTCAGATATGACGACTGATAGAGAGCAGTGGAAGAGAATGACATACTGCGCCGACCACAAATAATGGGATAAAGGCAAGGCAATGATGAAAGGAATAGTGCACCCGCCTGCGCTAACGGTTTACGCTCTGCACTAGTGGAGGATGATAAGATGAGCATGAGGTCAGGTCAGTTAGCACATCGTGACAAATTCACCAAGAATTCATCACGATGGTTTCCAGGGGATCCGCGTGGAGGTCATCCTGACGTGGTACATTGTTAGCAATAAGATTAATCCACATTACTAACGATCCCCTTTCCCTCATAATGTTATATTATTATTTTTTATGTTTTTTTGTTCACAATAAATTTAATAACTATTTTGCTCTGAACTGTACGAGGGCATTTTAAGATTGTAAATAAAGTAGGACTTACAATACTTTGTCGGTTTGATATTTTAATTTAAAAGTATTAAATATTTACAGGCAAGCAGTGTCAGGAGACGTGGTTGATCGTGAACCTAATTCCAACGTAAGTTTTTTTTTATAATAACAATACAAATAATATAATATGATACTAATCTTCTTATATATAAAATTCTCGTGTCACAATGGTAGTTACCATACTCCTCTGAAATTGCTTGAACGATTTTTATGAAATTTTATATGCATATACAGTAGGTCTGAGAATCGCCTACTATCTATTATAAGGGCTGTCCACCCTTAACATCGTTTTTTAATTTTAAAACATTGTTTCATGTATAATTTTATACCCTTCTATAACACACCCCTATTTTTTAAAAGCGATTTTAGTTTATATAGCCCAACGATGTTTGCAGAGTCAGCTAGTATTTTTATTTAACTGCAATTACAATGAATATGTATTAAGACGATTTTAATTTATATGGCCCAACAACGTTTGCTAGTATGGTTATTAACTGCAATCGGCATAAATGTGTATAAGTGATTAGGGTTGTCCACCCCTAATTTTTTTTTTATTTTATAGGCAAATTTTTTTATTTATATATATATATATATATATATAATGTTGCATTAAAAATAAACACAACACCAAATTTACGTCCTTCTGCCATCATACCCCTATTTTTTAAAAGCGATTTTAATTTATATAGCAAAACAACATTTGCGGGGTCAGCTAGTATTATAAAAAAAACATAGTACATTTGTGGAATATGTGATTCTACACTTCCTACTTTGGACTTGACTAAAATTTCAAGTATATTGTATAGTATATAGTAATGAAGTTATTCAGAATATTATTAAGTTTATTTTATTAGTGACCTGCCCTAATTTAACTAGCGTATTTGGGAAATTCAATTATTTTTAAAATAATGAACATCTCATTTTCCTGTTTGTTCATTTTTTCTCGGTAAAGTTTTTTGTAATCATTAATTATTTTTTATTGTACACATTACAAGATATTGCTGTTTTCCAACTTTTATCTTAGACTAGTTCTATGTAAGAACAATCCTTGCTTCCTTACGAACATTGTAAATGCGAAAATCTGTTTCTCGGTCTGTCCCGCTTTCATGTCAAAGCTACTGAACCGATTTAAATCAAATTTGGTACACAGATAGTTTAGACCCTTAAAAATGATTTAGGCTACTTTTCCGACGTGAAATAAGGATTGTAAGGATTTGAAGGGCGAGATGAAAGATTATCGTAATTTTTAAAGCGAAAACTTATTTTTAGGCTATTGATTAAATATAAATAAACATGACATTCCATGTTTGTAAACATTTACCTTTAAAGGGATAAAATAAAATAGAGGATGAAAATTTATTTGGAAAATCACCATTTTTGAAGAAAAACATTTCATCGTTCTAGATGAAATGTTTTTCTTGGGGTTAAATTATTGAATATTTTTTCTTAATTGGTCAAGGTGTGGTCACGTGTAGTGACATGTGCTGTAATACGCGGACGAAGTCACGGGCACAGCGAGTACTATTATATATCTACTTATGTTATTTCTATGGAATATTAATGTCTTTGTAAATTAATTTCAGAACCAAAACGAGCTTCCACTGCCGCCGCGGGCTAGCAAGCCAAAATTGGTCGACAAGCCCCGCCATATAAGGAAGTACCCCTTGAAACTGCCCAACAAAACCCCGGACTCTACCGAAACACCCGGTCCACCTAAACCCATCATCTACCAGAACACAGCTTATCCTGTATTCAAGAATAGTGGCCGGAAGGACAAACTGGATGCCGTTGGGGTTGACGTGTTCGATGGAGTTAAAGCTGTAAAGATAGATACCAACCCGTTCATTAACAAGTCCGCACACAGCTCAGCGAACCCTTTCAACTGTTATCTGGAGAATATAAAGTGTGAAACCGTGGTAAACGAAGTGCCCGAGGAACAGTACTTCGAGGAGGGATCTTTGGTCAAAGGTATTTACTTTATTTTATTTGACGAAATTCTAAAAAAAATAATTTAAATCTTAAATTAAAAAAAAATCTAAAAATTATTCAGTTTTGATGACCTACGTGGTCTAGCGGTTAAGCATACCGTCTTACTTCCGATGGTCGCGGGTTCGATTCCTCGTACCACACAAACATTTGTATTCATAAGTATGATTGTTTGTATCGGGTGATGACGTACATATTGTATGTATTTACGAAAAAAATTATCTATGTATTTGTATCAGTTGTCTACCCATAATACAAGCTTTAGCTAGCTTAACTTGGGTCTAGACTGCACTGTGTGAATTGTCCTGAGACTATTATTTTTATTATGTATGGACATTCACTACTATTTATGTTTGGATTCCACAGTTAGTATTATCTTATATATAAAATTCTCGTGTCACAATGTTAGTTACCATACTCCTTTGAAACGGCATTTCCGATTTTTATGAACTTTTATATGCATATACAGTAGGTCTGAGAATCGGCTACTATCTATTTTTCATACCCCTAAGTGATAAGGGCTGTCCACATATGACATCGTTTTTTATTTTTAAAACATTGTTTTATGTATAAATTTATACCCTTCTATAACCAACCCCTATTTTTTAAAAGCAATTTTAGTTTATATAGCCCAACGACGTTTGCAAGGTCAGTTAGTATTTTTATTTAACTGCAATTACAATGAATATGTATTAAGACGATTTTAATTTATATGGCCCAACAAGGTTTGCTAGTATAGTTATTTAACTGCAATCGGCATAAATGTGCATTGTTTCCAGATTGTACTGACCACGTGTCGGTGGAGGATCTGCTGGAGTTTGCGGATCAGAAACCGTGCGGCAGGCAGCGCGGTGTGGAATCAGACGAAGTCAGGATCATGTGTAAAGTGCTCAAACAAGAGGTCAGTTACATACATACATACATACATACATATATGATAAAATATTGAAACAATTCCTTCTCAATAAAATATATTACAATATTAATGAATATTTCAATGAAAATTTATAGTTATACTAGGTTTAATACAGACATTAGCATTATAAATATTGAATTTGAATAGGAAGGTTTTAGTTTTTTATTATTTATTATATATTGTATAGGAGATATTTTTGACAATTGAATTATAATATTATGAAGTCCTGTTGTATATGAATATATATAATATAGGTATGTTGTGTCATATTGCCATGCCCTTTCAGGGCATCATAAAAAATTGTAAAAACTCAACCACACTCTGTACGCATGTGCTTTATATTTTTGTGATACTGCAATAAATAAATAAATAGATATAATGATTTTTTAATGTAAAACAGGACATTGGAAGGGTCATGATTTTTTGGTATGGCAAAATAGCTAATTGCTTACTTGATGTTTAATTTTATTTATTTATTCATGAACAATTTGAATTTAAAAATTAGTATAAACATGTATAACATATATTTGAATACGAGCTGAGTTTCTTGTCAGTTCTTCTCATCTCGAAATCATTCCGAACTGACGGTAGATTTGACATATCATAAGAGTCTGTAATAGAGCTACATGAATAAAGATATTTTGTATGTTTGAATACTTGATTTTAATGTTTATATTAAATATAGATTTTTAAATTGTCATAAATATATAATTAATAATAGAATAATTTGATGACCTCGGTGGTCCAGCGGTTTAGCACACTGCTTTATTTCCGATGGTCGCGGGTTCGATTCCTCGCAAACATTTGTATTCATGAGTGTTTTTATCGGTCTGAATGTTTTATATGTATAATATGTATGTATTTACGAAAAATTATATCTATTTGTATCTGTTATCTAGTACCCATAACACAAGCTTTAGCTAGCTTAACCTGGGTCTAGATGGCGCTGTGTGAATTGTCCTGATTATCTTAATAATATTATAAACTTGAAAGTTTGTAGTTCCTACACAGTTTTATACTTCTGTGAATGTCATCATTTCTTCAGTCAATACACAGATAGTACACATTATTTCTGTTTTAAATAAATAAATTAAAAATTAAAAAAAGTGCCTTATTGATACGACACGACGAAACAAAGTGCAGTTTATAGTGAGATTTATTACGTATAGTCAGAAACAGTTTGATCAAAATAACCATATTGACGGCACGGTGGTACAGCGTTTTAGTATACTACTTCGCTTCCGGTGGTCCCAGGTTCGATTCCTGGCACGGTGCCAATATTGGTTACATGAGTGCGATTGTTTGTATCGGTCTGGGTGTTTTATATGTATGTATTTACAAAAAAATGTCTATATATTTGTATCAGTTGTCTAGTACACATGACACAAGTCCTGCTTACCGTGGGACTAGATGGCGGTGTTTTAATTGTCCAAGGCTATTTATTTATCATAACATAGTATAAAATAAAGTTGCTGTCGCTGTCTAAATAACCTCGTCGTAAACCTAAATCTTTAAAAGTGCGCAATAGATTTTGAAGCGGTTTTTTTATACGATTGGGAGAGACTACTGAGATTATATATATATATATGTGATTATAAATTCGACTGTATACTTGCCAGGTGACCCCGGAGGAGTGTCTTGAAGCCCTGGAGCTGAGTGACTGGAATGTGCACCTGGCCATCAAGCTGATAAAGGTGAAGATAGCCGTCGGCGTCGCTGTTCCTCTCGAGGAGTGTTCTGCAGAACTTGCCAAGGCCAACGGGGACATCCTGAAGGCTTCAGCTGTACTTGTTATGTGTAGAAAGAACATGTAATAAATGATATCAGCTTCTATATATTTTTTTTTAATAAACTCCTCTACATATAAATATGGTCGAGTACAGTGATGGCTGGCTCATCAGTCATACTCGTGAACGAGTGCTGCTTGTAGGGACTGGTCTGCTCTTATCACTACTACTGATTTAATCTTATTGTGTTATATTTTACATTAGTGCTGGTTGGTAGTTTATATTCACATGTTTGGAAGTGTAAATAGAAACTTACAAGGATTATTTAAAAGAGCAACACACAAGTTTCTTGCTCATTCTTTTTGTAATGAGACAGCTTTCCGAATGAGCGGTAGATTAAAAAAAATGTTATGACTATTCAAAAGTGCTTACATTAAGTTTATTTGAATAAATGATTTTCTATTCTATACGCATATAAGTACAACATTATATATGTCATAAAATTCAATCTGGTTGAACTGTTTTTATGATATATAGTAAACATGGTCTTTGTAGGCTATATGTGAATGAGCGGGAACACAATGACTTATTTATTAAAAATCAGAATATTAGTTTTATAAGCGTATATTTCCCAAAAGGGCTCACAGCGAGGAAGTCTAGTCTAAAGTGACATATAAGAAACATATAGTTTAGTTTAGTTTCATTTATTGACCAATGTAAAAAACAAATTTACATATATGGCAAGTCAATATACAGTAATGATATTTATAAAATTATAATCTGATTACAATTATATTATTATTAAATAAAATAAAATATCTTGCAATACGTCATAATAATATTTAAAAATCGTAATTACGGTATAATTACATTTCGATTCATATATTCTGTAATATTATAAAAGGGATGTTTTTCAAAATAATAGTTTATTTTCAATTTAAATTATATTGGGGGTAATTGTTATAATAGTAAAACGCGAGTTTCAAAGCGTTTGTGGCCCTGGTCCCCACCGACTTGCTGCCCACCTTCATGAAAGAGGACTACTGGCCGAAAGGTGTGGTGTATCGGCGCTACCGTGGCAGATTGCCGTCTTCAGTGCAGCGATCACACAGACGATATCATTGTATTAGTTTTTAAATATTATATTATATGTATGTTAGTCTATAAGGTATTTATAATATGGGCCTAGTTGCCTGCTATAAATGAATAAATAAAATAAATAAATATAAAAAATAATATAAAATATATAAAAAGAGTGGTGAACAAACTGCCAGCGACACTATGTAGTGAACACAATTATGTAATACAGCCTGTATAACTTAATAAATTGGGTTTGTAAAGAAAATACATGTACATACATTTGTTATTAATGATACATTCATTGTTTGGTATATTAACAGCACTTCTTACCCAAATTCAGCCTAGGAACTGTTCCTCACTCTTTATAGAATAAAAATACAACTATTTTTAATTTTATTATTATAGTAATATTATAAGCTCTATCGACTTTTACAAGATATTTTCCAGATTCTACCAAACCAATTGAGAGATTATGGATTGTTGACCAAATCAACAATCCATAATCTCTCACAAAACAAAAACTAACTGTCACTTAATTATTTTAGTATTTTTATGTAAATCATTTTAATGTAATTTCGGCATACCAGTTAACCCTACACTTGTTAGGGTTAACCCATAAGGGTCAAGCCATAATCTTGGGTAGCCCGAAACTACCCAAGATTACGGCTTGATAATTTAGTTACTCCATTTAGCAACACGGTTAAAGATCTTGGTCTTCGTATAGATTCGACGCAGAGTTGGGTACCGCAAATTGCTCATGTGAGTTGTAAGGTTTTATCATCTCTACGCTTCTTAAATTGCTTCAGAAAGTTTCTTCCTAAAACTAAAGTCACTCTTATCCAATCTCTTATTCTTCCCATCATTGAGTAGCTGATGTGTGATATATGACACCGACCTTACCGAAGATCTTCTTAATAAATTCTGAATAATAAATATAACAAAGGCTGAAGAAGACAATCTCTTTTAAATAATTCTATTCGATTTATCTTCAGCCTTCGCAAGTATGATCATATTTCTTCATACCGCTCCAAACTTAAATGGCTTCCAATTCGTCAGCGCAGACAGCAACGGTTACTCTGTTCTCTTTTCCATTCTCTTCGATCCCTCTTCCCCTGAATATTTGAAATGTAAATTTCAGTATCTCAGGGATGCCCATGACCGTAACCTGCGCTCTAAAAATTCCCTCGTTCTGACTACGCCACTCCATAAAAGGAGTTTCATGACCGACTCTTTTCTTTTACCAGCCTCACATCTCTGGAATTCACTGCCAGGAGACATCCGCACACTTCCTTCTAAATATAGTTTAAAAAAAGAGTTAATGAATATCTTTTAAATCGTATCTCATAGTACTGTAATAAGGCTCATAGTAATCTTATTTAATAATAATAATAATCTCAGGACAATTCACACAGCGCCATCTAGACCCAAGTCAAGCTAGCTAAAGCTTGTGTTATGGGTACTAGATAATTGATATATATATATAGATATTTTTTTTTGTAAATACATACATATTATACATAGAAAACACCCAGGCCGATACAAACAATCATACTCATGAATACAAAAGTTTGTGCCGTGCGAGGAATCGAACCCGCGACCATCGGTCGTAAAGCGGTGTGCTAGACCGCTAGACCACCGAGGTCGTCAAATATATGTGTAGGTTGTTTATAATATATATTACATGTTTGTTATATTTCATTATTTATAATATGTATATATATTTAATACATTTTTATTTAATTTACTAAACCGCCTTCGAGTATCTCTGCACTCCATAAGGTTGGCTGGTAGAGAATGCTAATAGCATTAAGCCCGTCTATTGTACAATGCAATAAAGTTTAAATAAATAAAAAAAAAATAATAAATAGGTATACAGTAAATAATTATCTACGCTAAAAATACGATATATTTTGTAGTAGTCATATTCGTCGAGATGCTGTCAGCACAACAAAAATAAACGCATATCGCGATGCATATTAAGTTTAGCAATTATTTTTAACCGGATTCAAACCTCGGCGGTTCTAGCATGCGACAGATTTGGAAACTTGCAGCTTACAAGGCATTTAGACGCGAATACCGAGCACTGATCTCACGGCAGATACGCTCAAACATTATATTGTTGGTTTTACTCTCTATTTTTTCGGACTACTCTAATGCTGTTGGCCGCAGCTGGCCTTTACAACTTCACCGGACGATAGGAGGCGAGTGTAGATGGTACTACAAACCAATGGAAGGACTTATGGAGCGGCTGAAGGCCAACTCCCGCCTGACGGATACGACTTTGGTCTGAAGGCACCACTAGGGGTTCGAACCTCGGCTCAGGCCGTCTTAATTTCGACAGTAAATTTTTGGACAGGGGTCCAATTCAAACGGGGATCGAAATTCTTTCTTTCCGGTGGAGAGAAAAAGAGAGGATTTATCTCTCCCCCGGAAATAAATGAAATGCGCAAATATTTATTTGGGAAAACGTTCCATTTTGAATTATATGAGTAGGTATATGTTATTTAACGTAATCTAAATAATTACCTACAGTTAAAAACATGGTCAATTGATGAAATAAAATAGAAATGAAAGGAATGATCTTAATTATTATAGACACAAATTTTAAACTCATCCGTCATACTCGTGAACGGGTGCTGCTTGTAGGGACTGGTCTGCTCTAATCACTATGATTGATTTCCTCTTATTAATTGTTTAACCAGTTGGTTATATATTCAATACTTTTTCTATTTGACTATTTAATTGATTTAGTGCTAATTGGTGGTTTGTATTCACACACTTAAACTTAAAAATGTAAAGTAATAATAAAATTATTTAAAAGAGCAACACGCAAGTTTCTTTCTTGTTCTTCTTGTTATGAGACAGCTTTCCGAATGAGCGGTAGATTAAAAAAATGCAATGACTATTCAAAAGTGCTTCAATGTAAGTTTATTTGAATAAATGATTTTCTATTCTATTATATTCTAAACAAGTATAATGTACGAGTAGTAGGTACTACACGCAGTCCAGTTAGAACTAACACTTTGAAGATAGTTAACATTATACTGTTACCTACTTGTAGGTGTATTATACTAGTGGGCTGTCCTGGCTTCGTCCGGGTGCATCATAACTGAGTTTTATATATCAGCATAATATACATGGAAATACACACTCGAATAATGTACCATTCAAACATTGTAAGATTTCATCAAATAGATGCAGTTTATTTTCATTCTGAGAAAACCCACTGTTTATACTTAGCACTGCGATCATTGCATATATTTGTCTATGTTTTTTTATACCACGTAGGTAGCAATCAAGCATACGGCTCATCTGATGGTAAACGGTATATCATGTCACGGAAAAATGACTAATGATTTAATTTTATTTTATAGTTGGAGTTGGACAAATTCTTAGGCGACTGCAATTTATCGCAGCGGAAGTTTCCACTGCAGGTGAAACATATTGCATTATATCTATGTTTTTATAATCATATAGGTATATATATATATTTGTTAGATCAATCCGACCATTTATTTCGCATACGTAAAGAATATGTAAATGGAATGTAATAAAAATTATTATGTCTGTTTGTCTCTAAAGAAACATGCGCTTACTTTTTCAATTTAGCCTGTCCTTGATGTTCCTAAAATAAGCTACTGCAATACATAAGATCAATTGCTTTCAAGATAGAGGCCTACGCTACACTTGTAAAAGAATAGATTTTTAATATTATTATAATTAAAATTGTAATAAAAGTATTATTTGTCAGAGTATTCTGCATCCGACAGATAGCACTTGTAAGTTACTAGCTACTCGCCCTGGCTTCGCCCGGGTGTACATGTATTATTTATATAAACCTTCCTCTAGAATCACTCTATCTATTAAAAAAAACCGCTTCAAAAACCGTTGCATAGTTTTAAAGATTTAAGCATACATAGGGACAGACAAAATTAATGATAATAAACTCAAACTAACTTTAAGTAAAACTAGACAATTAGACGGGCGCAAAACATAAAACCCGCCAAAGTATACTTATGGAACAAC